ATCTGTAGTTTCTCAGAGGTATAGAGGTTAAAATGATATTACAGAAATTGCCCTTTCTAAAATATTTTTCCCCATTGTTGCCAAAAAGACTGAAGTTGAGCTATTGTCAGCTAAAATAATGGTTCATGAAAGCATAGGGAATCATCATCTCAGTTGATAGCATCTGGACATTGCTCCTCCATGAAGACAAATACAGTTGTTCTCCTTTTGCATAAAGATAATTTTTCAGATGATGGTAATGACAATCTCAAAAGCTCAGCAGAGAATACAGGAGTGGGCAATGGATGCAGGGACATGGGAAAGCCAGGTGGCATGGGAAACAAGAATGGCAGAAAACGGCTTAGAGAATGTGGTGAACCTAAACTTAAAAGCTGAAGCTCCCTAAAGTAATTCAGAATTTTGGATATTCATATCTTCAAGGCTGCTTTTTTTATCTTTTTTTTTTTGTTTGTTTGTTTTATAATAATGATACAGTATCATATCTCTGATGTTTTGGGTTTTGCTTTGTTTTATATCTATGCATTACACTTGTAATAATTTACACTTTTACACTTGTAATAATTAAAGAGAAAGTGACTTCTACAAAAAAACATTCTCAAATTAAAATGTGCGAAGCTGGAGTTAAAACTGAGAGTATAAGTCAACAACAACAAAAAATGTTTGGGATATTTTGGTTTCCAACATGAGCATTACCAACTCTGAAATTTCAAGGTTTAGAGTAAAACATAAGCCAAGCATAAGAGACAGACAGTTGGGAAAAAGACATTGAAACAAATTTGTTTCTGCTTGATAGTGCCCTTGTCAAGAAAAGGGCTAAATCTTATCGTTTTTGCTTGCAAATATGTTTAATTACATTAGTATTGATGAACACTAATTATATATTAATCATTACTTTATCATCCAAATGTGTATGTGTAAGAAGATTAATCTCTGTCACTGTAGTGTTAACAAAGGAAAAAAAAAAACACCTTAATAATGTATCTTAGAAATCTATCTTACAGATTTTTATTTTTATTTTTTCAAATGCCAGCCATGGCAGGAGTGGACTAGAGTTCCACTCCTGTTACAAGGGCTTTTACAGGTCCTTTAAACTAAAACTTTGGGAGGACTGGCTAATCTGTTTGGCTGAATATCCATGTATCCTTAACAGCAAATTCCTCAGGTTTGTTTGCATTGCCTTTGAAACCATAACGACGGCAGCTTGAAGAGCAGTAAAGTATGGAGATACTGGAGGGCTTTAGAAAAAAACCTGTAACACCTGCTCTGTCATTTAACCATGCTGGGTCACTTAAATGAAGAAACCAAGTTGACGTAGTGAAATGTGCAAAGCAAGTTATGATCAGATGAATGCAATTACATTGTTCCCAAACTCCTAGTCCATGAATTCCTGTTTCTCTTTCATATGTAAAGAATGTTTGTCATACTGAAACTATTTTAGTTTGCTATAAGGTGGTAGCAGATCAAGAACAATCAAATGGGACATCTCCATCTGGGAGAGCATATTGAGTCTGCATGGCCCCTGTGGGGCAGGCTGCATCTGCCAGGAAAGCACTGCTGCCTCTGCCTCAGTGAGTGGGGGCTCTTTCTCATCACAGGGCATTGCACACACTTGCAACAGTTGGAAAGCCAGGTGAGGAATCAGAGTTCCCAGTCCTCCTTTTAACAGGCCATGCTCATTCTTGTTTTATCCAAGATGATGGACAGTGTCCCTTTTCTAAAGAGCAAGTCAAAGCAAAGCACATCAGCCTAAAAGCATGATTTGACATATCAGCTAACCTGTTCTAATGCTGGGTTGGTACCAAAAGCATCAGTCCTACTTAACCCACCACTCCCTGTGTCAGATCCAGCAGTTGTGGGGTCACAGGGTGAGTCATTTTGTCTATCTGTTTTGGTAGATTTTTTATTTTTTCCCAGCAGTAGAACTGATTCATGTATAGCTTCACAGCCACCAGATCTAACATGAGGGAAAAGGCAAGAGCATGAGAGTAGGGTCTGTACGGTCAGGGACAGAAAGAGGATGGCTGCCTCTTTAGCAGCCATTTACGCCTAAACCCAACATAAAAACATCAAGTGCGAAATGAACTAAACTGGCAAATTATTTATGAAAAGGTTGCTGAACTCAAATCTTCTGCAGAAAAATCTCTGTCAAGTGATGATGTAGACTTTACCTGTGCTTTAGTTTTGTGTTACGCAGAAGCTCATTCTAGAGATGGCCCCAGTGATCTCTGTCAGCTTATGCATTGGCAGGCGGATACCCTTTTGTCCAGTAAGTTGTGGAATACTGCCTGCAAATTTGAGTGGTAATACCAATTTGTTGAAGTCAAAATGCATAGTATAAATGTATTGATTTTTTTCAGATCTTCCTATTGTAAGTGAATGAAAAATTGGGCTTGGAAAAGGTCAAAGCATTTTCCTTTGACTATATAATTTTGATTTTCATAAGCAGTAACAAAACATGCCATCTGTGGTACGACAGTGCCCTGTAAAATTCAAAATGGTGAAGTCCAAATAATCCCTTTTGATCTTATTGAGACAAAGTAATTGACAGTCAAACCTCTTTGGGGGAGGGTTTTGCTCTTTGGGAAAGCTTTTTTTTTTTTTTTTTTTCCTTTTTTTCTCTGATTCAGGATGAAAAAATTTTTGAAATGTTAGTTTGCTAGAATTGAAATTGTGAATTTTCTTGCACAACGTTGTGAAATTGTTTGTGGCAGTGGATATCTGGAGGCACAGATCAGGTTATTTACACTCTTATTATCTAGTCTTGTCTGAACTCTCTCATTGCATGAACTAGAAAGGTCATCCCTGTAGACTACTTACTTTATTTACACTGTGATGGAAAATCAGACATGAATCTATGATAGAGCCTGGGAACAATGGAGAACAAACTCAATCAGTCTAAACTAGGTTATGGAAATAGGCCACTTTATCTTTAGAAATCCTGGATGGCAAGTTATGTGCATGTCGTCTGTATGAAGGAATATTTAATCTATTTTTTAATGGAATTTTTATTCCTGATTAAAAGTTATGTCCCAGGAGCTTTGAGCTTTCTTACTTAGCTTCCAAGTTGATCCTTCCTAACCATCTTTTATAATCTGTAAAATTGAACTCTGGGTTATAATGTGAGCTTGCATTCCCTGCTACTTCAGCAGGGAAACTGCTCAGGTCAAACACTCTGAGCTCATATCCTCATGCTTTGGTCCTCGTTCTATCTGTCTCCTCATAAACTAGACAGGAATTTAATATTTTGGTCAATACTGTGGGCATAGTAATTTTATTAGCATGATGTGACTAGGCTTCCATGAAGTGCTGTAAAACTGATACAGTTCTTGCTGGGGAAAACTGCTTTAATATAAGCATAAACTTGAAGGGAAAGAATTTCTAGTCTCAATATATTTTTATCTTCTAAGTAAGGCTTGAAAACTTTAAGTGAGTTCAAGTCCTTGGAAGCTATTTTGAATTATGAAGCCTCAGCTCTAAGCTATTGTGTACTGAACAGTACAGTTCAGGAAAATCTCTGTCCCAAAGAGCCTGTGATTCAGGCAGGTGATAGGATAAGAAGGAATGAAGGTACAGAACAGTGTGCAGCCAACTGAAGTTTAGTTAGTGCAATGGCAGTAGACTGGAATCCACATCTTGTTTTTGTCCAGCTCCTAGTGCTGAGAGGTAATACTGAGTATGATGTTAATGGGTAAATTTCTGATGAAGTTAGGTGGCCTGATAACAGGTAGGTCTCTCACCAGAAAAAAACCTGTATTGTTCTTTTCCTTTTGTTTTATGATGGAAGTGCCTACCATCATAGTTGTGGTAGGCACCATGTGCAGATTTGCCTAAATCTTGGCTTTTGTGGATGCACATGTACTCCAGAACACAAAGGATTTTGCCATCTTCTGCTTCTCTGTTTTACTTAAGAAATCCACAGTGGCAAGAGAAACTTTATCATTTAGTCACTTTGAAACTGTCAGTGGAATTTAAAATAAATTATTTTAGCCAAAATGGCTATTTCAGAGCATCCTGCTGTCGGACGCCATCTGTTTGGTAAGCGTCATCGTTTGTGACTTCTGCAGTGTGGGAACCAAATGTCAGAGACTGTCAAAGCGTTTTCCATCATGCTCTAATTCTGGCTGAGCAGAAATCCTGTTTATTCACTTTGCTCAAATAGTGTACAGTAAACTTCTTAGTCTTTTTAGTTGAGCCAGAATTATAGCAGAATGAAAACCATAGTCTTTCTACAACTAAATTTCCTCAGACCAAGAATTTTTAAAGAAGTAAGGGGCAGATTTGGTTAAATGAGGAGACTGCTGAAGAAAATAGGATTGCCTTGTTAATCACTCATAACTATCAGTGTGCTAGGTAGATTTCTGAGAGTATTGCTCAGCTGAATGCATCATACTTTCAGATAGAAATTTAAAGTCTGGTCTCTTCTGGATAGTTCATATTTTGTGGATGTTTTCATAAGCATGTGCTGATCCATCTATTTTAAAGATTTTATTTTTCCTTGTCTAAACTATCGTGTCATCCTAAAGCAATATGTCATTTTTGCATTTCTAGAGCCAGTTCTTGGATTTTGGAGCTTTTGTAAATGAAAGCTCACTAGTCATCATTTAGCTTCATTTCTCTTGCTTTCTATTTCTTTAGAATTCGGTATACATCCTATAAGCTCATAAGCATCAATTGATGAAATTTAGTCTCAGTTAAACTAGGCACAGTGGGAAGAAAATGGGTGAAGTCTTTCTGTGCTGTTCAGTGAAATAGTTTGGTTCTCATTGGTGACAAATCATTCCTTGCATCATCACTTTGAAGAGGGGTGTTCAGCTAGCTTAATATTTTCATGTCTTAGTGTTGTAGAAAATCAAAACAACACATGGTGTGTTTACTTATTTATTATTTATTTTATTTATGGTGAAAATAGGATATAACATTTTTTCCTTCTCTGTCCTCATGGCTGAATTTCATTAACCAGTTTGACAATTATCTTTTTTTTTTTTTTTTTTTTTTAATAGGAAAATGCTGTGAATGGAGAGCATCTGTGGCTGGAGACAAATGTTTCTGGGGACCTCTGCTACCTGGGGGAGGAAAGCTGCCAAGTCAAATTCTCAGTGAGTTATTTTCAGATTTTCTTCTCTGCTTCTGATGTAATGATGTAATGAGCCTGACTTTGAATTGGTGCACTGCTCGGAAGCTTGGTAGTTGAATTGTTTGCTTTTGTTGTTGATGCCTATGTTCTGAAAGAAAGAATGCAAAAAAGACAAAAGACTGCTGATTAAATACTTCGTTGCATGGAAAACAAAAAGCCCCAAACAATTTTGAATGACCCAGATTATTTACGCAATGAGAGTGAATTTAATGAGTAGTTTTGATTAATATGGCAAGAAAAAAAAAACTAAGATACTGAGATATTTCAGAAATGTTAAGATGAATGAGCCTATTTCATTTATATATACACACGTTATCATTTGCTGGGATGTCTGAGCAGGATTCTGATCACATTTTTGTGATTTTCTCACTGCAAGTATTTGAACTGAATTTTCTGAACTCAGTGCACTCACCAGCAATGAATTGAATATTCAAAGTTGGACTTCTATTGAGGCTTTTCTGCTGTATATTAAAAATTTTCATTGGCTCTAACTCATGTTCCTCTATTCTTTGACTATGGAGTCGCTGTTATACTTTCTGCTTTCTTCGGTAACTCTTCATTTTCCTAATATTTAAGTTAAATTGCTTCAGCAGAAGAGATGAAAAGAAATGAAAAAAAATATACTTCCTTTGGTAAGGTGAGAAATTTTATTAGAGAATGGCGATCCTGTGTTCAAACCCTTGCTTTGAATCAATGCACAAGTGAGTTTCCTGGCTCTTGGACTGCAAAATGTAATGGGAGTCCTTCTCTGTGATGTCTGTGAATAGTGCCTCTGCTTTTCTGCGATGCTGTCTTTTTGCTTTGTTTAAGCCCCTGCTGCCTGCCTCCAAAAAAACGCAACAACTCAGATCACTTGATTCAAACTGAGGTATTTTGATTTACCAGTTACCTCCAGTGTTAGTAGCACATTGTTTGATCCAAACCAGCAGTGATTTATGTATCTCCAATTTCTATGATTCTAATTTAATATCCATCTGCCATAACTTCTCAAGCAAATTAATTACTTCATGGTGTAAAACGTGAAGGCTAAACCTGGGAAGTGTGTGCTTGTTTACAGAGACTGCTGAAGTCGCAGATATTAGGATACATACTGTGGGGTAATATTCAAGTGAAGCATCATGTGTTTGCCTTGCAGTTACACTGGTCCTGAGGCAATGGGTTTGGGCAAAGGCAGGAGACAGGATTTTTGTCTGCCAATATGACTGTTCTTATATTCTTAATAGAACAAGTAAACATCTCCTCATGATTTAGCTTATTGAGAGTAGCATGAAAATGTTATAATGTGTTGCATATGACTGCAAGGCTTAGCTTTTGACTTAGCTTTTTAGAAGAGCATCTCTACGGAAGGCGGAAACACTGCCTGTAATAGCTGGTGAATTACACCCACTGACTTGCACTTTTATTTGGTAATGTTGGAGCATGTTTTACATGGCAGCATTTAGGAAGTCACATTTAGGAAGAAGCAGAGTTTAAAGTTGCTCAGTTTTTAATTGCCTGGCCTTTGCTTGACCTGACTGAGATTATTTTCTATTTTAAGTACTATTGGCTCCCTTTGGGAAAAGTGGTATCTGTTTTTATAACATGTTACAGTGCAAAAGGCTTTTGTTAGTTTAGAGAGACGGAGGTGGAAATGCAGTTAATATTATTTGTGGATGGTTTAATCTGAACTGTCAAAAAGCTAATGCTTCTCCAGTTGCAATCATTTGAAGACATTGAATCTTTCATGTCTATCCTGATTTTTGTTTGTCTTAGCTCTTTTACATGTGGCCTATGTAAGACCAGAGGTTTTTAATGGAGAAATGGCCAAAAATATATCTAAGCTATAAATGAAAAGACTTTGTAGAAAATGTTAGCCTGTACAGAACATTAATTCATATTCTTTGGAATATGGAGCTGAAATTTTGTGATAAATCAAATAAGTCAGAAGTAGTATAAAAGATGAAGCCTGAATTTTTACTATTCTCTCAATATAAATGGCTTTAACTACTTATAGTGCCACCAGCAACATACTCAAATCAAGATATTCAAAAGTAGCTGCTTGTAAGGCATTATCTTTATTTGATTTTTGCAGTTTTTTAATCATAGGGATTGATTCCTGTGTATTATTCCTCGGTCTCTTTGGTAAATACGGAGACTGGAAAGTTAACATGTCACAAAACACATGAAATATTGGAGAGTTATATAGTGCCGCGGTTCTTCTGGTGAAACATTAAAATGTACAAGAAAGCACACAGAATGAGGGTATTTTTACTTAATTATGAGACTCCATAAAAATTTTAACTGATTATAATGTAAGGCAAAGATGTATTTTTCCCTGCTTCTTCTTGAGTTTATTTACAATATTACTGAAAATTCTAATGAAATAATTTATTAGAAATTTAAATTAACTTGAAAAAAATGAATGTAAAAATCTTAAACCAGTCTCAATATACTGTGTGTTTATAACATTTCTGTCCCTCAAGTGCAGGTCTGTAAATTAAAGTTTGTATAAAATTAATTTCATCTAGTTTATTAAATTGAGTGTATGCAATGAAAAAAAAATAGAAAAAAATTAACTCTCTCTCCTGGATGCATTCTCTTCTCTATGTTACGCTTTGGCCCATGGGAGTCAATGGAAATTATTTTAAAAGCCCTACTGAAATTAATAAAACTAACCAACATAATTAGGTTGAGAATTTTGTCCCTGTTGTAACATTTCATAAACATTTAAGAACATTCAGTGTGAAGGTTATCATTCTCAGATAAATGACTTTTTTTTTTTTTTTTTTTTTTTTTTTCTGCAAGGCAGTGGTCAAGCCCATCAAAATCAATATCGTATGATAAAGATGTGATGATATACTCTTCCTAATTGGTCTGAGTCCTCTGACTTGCTTGTATGTTTTTTCTCTTCTTTTCACTGGCTCTGCCCATCATCTTTGTAGGCTGCTTCCTCTTAGAATGGTGATCTGTGCTGTAACCTCCTTATCTGCTGCCTAAAATGAGCCTTGTACGGTTAGTTCACAAGCTGGAGTACCACTGTCTTCTGTCTTTCATGAAGTCCGATTTTTAACTGGAAGAGCTTCAGAATCCTTTTTCAATATACAGGACAGCTGAGAACACCAAGATGAAAAAACGTGTATTCTATAAAGAGAAAAACATCTGTTTCACAGCTAACTTTTTTTTTTTCCTGTGGAGAATAGTGCACCTCCATCCACATACTTCTCCTTTTCCTCTTGCAGAAATCTGCTCTGCGGAGGAAGTGTGCTGCGTGCAAGATTGTGGTCCACAATGCTTGTATGGAGCAGTTAGAGAAGGTAAGACATTGCCATCTTCTGGAGCATGATGCAGGCAACATGCATTTATTTAATTCTCATACTGAGCTTTCAGTCTGGAAAACACCATATGCCAAATTAGGTTTTCAGAGCTGTTTTGACAATGTATTTGTTAAAAAGTTGACTTAAAATTTCAGCTTATCTTTTAAAATAGATTTTTTTTCAAACCCTGTGAACCGTTAGGGGAAAAAATGCTTTCACATTTTTATAATTAAAGATATTTTCCTTTTATTTCTAGATTGAAAATTGAAACTAGAAAACGCAGTATTCTGTCATGTGCAAAATTGGCCTTTCAAAATTCCCAGCTAAACCCAGAATAATTCATCTTATGACAGCTATATTTATTATGAGCAATGCAGCATAAGGTGCTACTATGAATATTTTCCACTGTATTTACTAGACTATGCTGTTTTCTCCTCAAAGCCTCAGAAGTAAAATTCTTGTTTCTGAGGTATGAAACATGAAACTTTTCTTTATAGTGCCATTATTTCTATGGACATCTTTTCTGTTTATCAGCTTCTTCAGGGAGCCCTCCTTCCCTCCAAGTGCTTATAGAATATTGATTATGGAGTTCAGGCTTCCCATCAGTGTTTCTTGTTCATTACACCTAACTGGGAATGTGAAAAAGGAATCCTCCCCCTCTGCTGTTTTTCATTCTTGGTGGGGTATGTGTGATGAAACAAGTGGGAATATACCCATGGATTTTATAGGAGCTTCATTTTCACTCCTAGATGTTTTGCAGTGTTGTTCACCATAAAAGAAGTTGATGCAAAACAAATTTATAGCAGCAACCCTTTGGAAAGGGTTTTTATTTTCCCAGTATTTGGGCTTGTGTTGACAAATGTCACAGTGATTGCCATAATACCAAGTTGGAGAGGTACCATTTCCACCCCCAATGCTTTTACCCACAGTGAAATTAGCATTATCACATGCTTTCAGCACAAAATGTTACCAGTGAATTTTTCATGACTTCCAATCATCAGGGATGCTGGCTCTCCATAGCCCAGTAAGGTGGTGGCTTTGCCAGCAGTAGCAAATGAGCACTTAGATAAAACCCATTCTGTTGAGCTTGTCTATGCTATTCTAGAAAACATAAAATTCACCTCTTGGCAGAAGGTTGTTAAGTTTGCATGCATCTTAAACTCTGTGGAGTTTAAAACTGGTATATAAGTCTTCTGTTTTTCTCTGCAAAGGTCTAAGTTGTTAGTAAAATAAATTTAAGAAATAGAGATCTTTCTAACCTACTAGAACTCAGAAATGGAATGATAGATTACAATTCCTCGTGAAGAGCAATGGAGGAAGACAAATGGCTATGGCTACAGTTTGTGTTATGGCTTTGTTTTCTTTTTCTTTTTCCTCCCTTGAGCTATAATTTTGAAGGCCATGATTATATGAGAATAAAAACTTATTTCTGTGGGAAGTAGGAGGTTGTGTTCAAAACTGGGGAACTCGATCCTTCTACTTCCATAACAAAAGCATGGTTGTGTAGTATCCTTAAGAGTTTTACTCTTCAAAGGGTAGTCATCTTAAGTTTGAATCCATTCAATTTAGTGAATTCATTTACTTTTCTCCTGGCTCTTTCCCTTCTTCAATATATATTGAAAATATGTATATGTATATATATATATATATATATTCCCCTGCTTACATTTCTGTTGATTTTCTTTTCTCAAAAGATCATAAAATCATAGAATGATTTGGGTTTGGGTTGGAAGGGACCTTTAAAGATCATCTAGTTCCAAAGCTCCACCATAGGCAGGGAAACCTCCCACTAGACCAGGTTGCTCAAAGCCTCATCCAGTCTGACTTTGGTCACTTCCAGGGATGACACATTCCAAACTTCTTTGGGCAACCTGCTCCAGTGCCTCCTCCCTGCCCCCCCCCCCCCCCCCCCCATCCCTCAGCAAAGAATTTCTTTCTAAACTCTAATCTAAATCTACCGTATTATTTAAAAATAATTATCCCTTGTCTTAGAATTACAGTCCCTAGTAAATTATTTAGGATTTTCTTATCAGATTCCCTTGTTAATTATTCTATACTTTTTCTTTTTGACTTCCTAAAAAGTTCTTCTCTCCACTGAAGTTCCTGCTGTCCTCTTTCTGCCTTTCCTCTCCCATCTGAAGGAGACAATACCACTGCATGAGGCAGTATTATAATCCCCAAGTGGCTTGTGATTGGGGATTGACTGGATAAAAGCAGCCTGATCTAAACAAAAGGTAGAAATTTAGGATAATGTACACTTTCCCCTCCCCCCCCCCCCCCCCCGTAAATTAGGATGATTTTTGCACAGAACTTATTTATGAAGGCATAACACTGGGATGTGCAAAAAGGTCTTAAAGAGTTAGATTTCCAGATCCTATAAACTTCTGAGAACTTAACTACACTTTGGTTACAAATGACATTCTTCAGGAAAAAAACACAGATGAAATGGTTGCCTTCTTGGCAAGGGAGAGATGGTTTAAATAATGGAACTGAGAAGGCAGCCGTAGCTTTAATGAAGGTGAGGGCTTTGTAGAGATTTAGCAAGGAGTATTATTTTGGCATGTGAAGAGATTTTCTGACATCCAGGTAAGTTACTTTCTTCAACTAGTGAAATAAATATTTTAATAGGTAACAATTACTTTGGAAGTGTGGACTAGATCAACATATTGGAATAACCTCTCAGCTTATTTTCAGTTCTAACACCTTTATTTCAATGCCAGATTAATTTTCGCTGCAAACCAACTTTCCGAGAAGGGGGTTCCAGGTCTCCAAGAGAGGTAAGTAATGGACAAATGATGGTTGCTTTTCATTTGATTTGTGGGCTGATTCACCTGGTGTGGAGCTGCAGCAGTGCTTCTAGATTCTGAGGAGTCTTAGAGTATTGATTTCCTGTGGGACCTGTTCTTCACCCCAGAATAAATGTAAAATGAATTCTAGCTGAATCGCTACATTACTTATACTGACAGGAACCACTTTGTCTTTCTGCTGTCTCTTTTCCCATTCACTCAGCCATTCTCTATTTTTTTTTTTTTTTGTAGCATTTCATTTTTCTTTCTGACCTTTTTAGGTCCCTTTTTAGGACCCTGAATTAGTATTTCGGCTTTTCTGTGCTTTCCTGAACTTCCACTGAACATTTCCTTCATCATTATTATTATTTTCTTTAAAGCAACTTGAGTGTTCAAAGGTTTTTGTTAGTCAAAATATCAAACATTCTAAAACCCCATGGTTTGCATCCAACTACCGTATGGATTCAGCTCCCTTTAAGGTACTGGGTATTTACTGTTCTTACATCTGTTTTTATAGCTATATTTATATATTTTTTACAGAGTTGGAAGTCAGTGGTTCCAAAAGAAAACAAAAGGAATAAAAAGCCCTAATCCCCAAACCCCTCAACAACAAAACCACCACCACCAACAAAAAAAAGGATAGTTGTTGAAACCTATTTACACGTTAGATTGTTGTGGTGGTTTTTGTTGTTGTTTTTGTTTGATTGTTTTAATTAAAGAGGGAAAAAACAAACAAACAAACACAACCCTAACTGCTATAGTTGTTTTGGCTGCTAGTCTGGTATGATGGAAGCCCTTTTTCCATGAGTAATCACAGTACAGAAGAAGACTTGGAAGTGACTTCTGTTGCTTGTTTCATTTTTGGTAGCTATGGGTGAGAAATATAATGCAACTTGTTTAAGAAAGAACCACTGTTCATCTTCATTTCCCCAAAAGCAGTGATGGGGAAACTCAGAGACTCTCCTCCTCTTTTTTTGGTAGGATCATGTCACAGCTTGCTCTTAGTAGAGGTAGCTTAGTTCCCTGCCATGTGAGTTCTGCTGTGCAGGCTGGCATAACAGCAGGGCACAAGTGAGGCTCCTTCTAACACCCTTGCCTGCACAGAAGGAGCACTGCAGTCCTGCACATCCTCCATTCTCTTGCCAACCTCTTGATGCCATCCAGGGTGTAAGGTCTCCAGACTACTTCGTTGACTTGCAATATTTTTGTCTTTTAAGAGTGTATTTCCAAGTAAAATATAACAAGGCCCTATGTTGTGGCTAAATACATTGGCCTTTTGGTCCTTCTGTGCTCTTTATTTAGGTACTGCTTATCTTCATGTAATGTGCTTTCTTCTTTTTATAGGAGGACAACAAAAAAGTAGTTCTGGATGCACTTTGACATGGATAAATAACCCTGTCTTGTTCTTTTTCTTCATGTAGTTTTGATTGTCTCTGAGGTTTTCAAGGGGGGACTACTGCATTTTACTCCAGAAATGATTGCCTTGGCTGAAGCACCCCTTCTTTGATGTCTGTAAATCAATTTCACATAGATGGTACCTTCTGAATGCAAGCTGCCATCACTTTCTGTAACATTTTCCTTGTCCTTCTCATGCAGAACTTTGTCCGACATCACTGGGTGCACAGGCGGAGACAGGAGGGGAAATGTAAGCAGTGTGGAAAGGTAAGACTGCCCACGCAGCACAAACACAACTCTAGGCACATATGCATTCAGGGTAGTCAGTAGCTACTTCCAGTCATGGAATTTTTTCTTTGCTAAATACTTAACCTCGCGTAAGCAGAAAATGACAAGACTGATGTGTTGAGTGGAAGCAGCCCTGATTCACACATGGTAAGAGAAAAGGCAGTTACACCTATGCAGGAATGAGCATATACTATGAACTGGACCATTGTGCTGCACTGGCTAATGAAAATGATGATGAGGAAGAAGTCAGTGGCTCCTCGAGTTTGTTTTTTTTTTTTTTTTTTTTTTTTTTTTCTTGGTTATATCAACCCCGTGCCAATATTGCGCTCTTATAGTACTATTCTCTGCACCGAAATTGTGATTACATATTTTTTTCAGGCTTCTGGGAGAAAAAAAAAAAACAAAAGGCTGTTGCTTTCTGTCAGCAGACTAGGATTTGTGAGACTGCTTCACATTCACTATTGATGTGGCAAAACAAAAATTTGTTTCCAAAAAGCTATAAAAAGGAGTAAGAAGAGCCTTATCTCCTGAGGACATTTCTTCTGAAATTTTATGAACCCCTGAAATTTGGTGAGAGATATTTAAATAACACGGGGATTTGATTTCCTTTCTCTAGCACTGTATTTTATTTTTGTTTCCCTCTTACCATCAACTGGTAAGAAAGATTGTGTCTAATCTCCATGGCGTAGCACTTTAGTCAGAAGAAATCAGATTTGTATCTGAGTACTGGTGTAGATTATTAGCTGCAGCAAGGCACACTATACCAACATGGTACTCTTTTATAAAAAGTGACATGTGAACAGTGCAGTATGGGGTCTCACAATGTTTCAACCTAATAGTTCACATCAAATCTCACTGTGACCTGTAGTACATCACTTTATTTCATCAATTCCTTTATTTGAAAAGTTAGCTTTCAAATAATTACTATCTTACTTCAAACATGTATCTTTAGGAAGAATTAGTTCACATTTTTAATGAAAGTTGAGGGTGAAAAGTGTTTCATTGTTACTTACCAGTAATATGTTTTTATTGCTGTATCATTTTCTCTTATGACTCCCTAAAAGCCAAATAGTTTACTGAATAAATGAAAAGCAGTCCACTCAGAACCAGACAAGCTGCTCAGTCAGTCCATATGTTTAAAATTTATTACTGATGGGCTGAGGAATTAATGTACTGAATTTTAGTTTTTTTTTTAGTAGAGATTTTGGGAGACGATTTCTCTCCTGCTTGTTACAGACCAGAACAAAACTAAAGATTTCATGACCATGAAAGGATGATTATTTTTAATACTTTGGGACAAGAAAGAGTAAGATTTGTAAGAAACAGTAAGAAGCACAAGACTAAGTGAATAAGAATAAAGTGCTTTGTCCAGTTTCAGCACTTGTCATACATACTGTCTCTCTGTTTGCTCTTGTGCAATGGAAATGCTTTTGTACTGAATAGAAGATTGGATCTGTCCAGGCAGAAGCAGCTGGATGGCTTGTCTTTGTGAAGCCATTTAGACATGATCTGTTACTAAACTCGAACATACTAAATCACTCCCATTATGAAGAACCTGCTCTTTGAGTTTCTCTGAATTTAAGACCTTAGATACCAGGGTAAGGATTAAAAAAAAAATAAAAATCTAGACAGAAGTGGCATAAGTTAAAAGTTTAGGGATTTGTCCTAAGTTAGTGGTGAGGTCTATCTGGCAAGTTGGTTTGAATACACACTGGGGACACCTGAAGAACTAGCTGAAATGTGTATTTCTGCATAGCAGGTAGATGGGGAGAACCTCCTCCCCATCAGTGCACTGATAGGGCTGTCCTCAGCTCCTGCTTATGGACAGACTGTAGCTCAGTCTTGCAGCTGACAAGAGCATTGTACCTCTGGAGGAGTTTTTGGTTGCTTATTTCTCCTTGCTCTGTTTGTCATTGTCAAGCACACCATTAGAGTCCTAATAGTCTCATTTTTCCTGCATCTGTCTTGCATATATTCATCTCATTCCACAGCAGCTAAGACCTTAATTATGGATGCAGTGAAGAAATGTCCTTCTAGATGTTACTAAATCAGATTACTATAACTCTTTTCCTTGGGTCTTGGATATTGACCAGCATGTGGGCGATTTAGGTAGTACTCAGTTTATCAAAAAGAAAACTGGCTCAAAACCTCATGACCTGATAGAGAGACTTTCAATTAGGCAGAAAACTCTGGGTACTGAAGGGCTACTTAATGTGGTAAAGAAAGGCCTGATAAAAGACAAAGAAAAAAAGATCCAGACAACTGCAAATTGAAATAAATCTAGACTTAACATTGAAGGTGTCTATGACAAACTGTTCTGTGGAGTGCTGGACATTAACCCAGATCAACTCTTTTTCAGGTTAAATAAGCTTTAAGTGAACACAAATTTTTAGGCTATAACTCCAGTTACACTTTGTCACCTGTGTTATGTGCAAGAAGAGTATATTTGACCCAATGGTCTTTTCCAGACTTAGAATTTAGAGGAAAAAGATACATCTGCTGAAATAGCATTCTACAAAATTAAACTCTTCTGTAGGAGAATAAAATCTCATGTTTGATGATAATGGTATTTTTTTTTCTCTCTAAACCTATAGAAATATACATATAAATAACTTTTTTATTTGAATTAGACTTTTTTTTTTTGAATTGACTAAAAGGATTTTGATCTGAGTCAGCTTAATAAAACAGTAAACTTAATTTCCCAAATGAAACATTTCCAGACAGACAACATAGTTGATTCAACTGTGCATTAAAAAAATAAATAATAACAATAATAAAAAAAAATCATTTTTTTAAATATATATATATATATTCAGGGAAAAAAAGACTGCAATGAAAGAATGTTCTGTTCCACAGAAAATCTGAACCTTAGTCATATCTCTAGAAGCCCATTAAAATACTCATTCCTTGTCTGTTTCTTCTTCTTCCTTTCCCTCTTTAACTCTACAATTTTAAAAATGCATTAAAATGTTTCTGTCTCTAAAGATTGGGGGGAGGGTGGGGACGAGGAGTGAGATAGAGAGATAGAGGAGTGCGCACATGCCTTAGCTGAAGAACCTTCTCTATGAATCCTGTTATTACTATATCCCTACAAAATCAGTTTGATGGTTAAGAGCTTTGAGGCTGGACCAAAGTATCTGACTGCACTGAACTGATTTAACCTAGCAGTTTCCCAACAAGAGCTTAAGTTGTAAATTTTGTTGTAGTCAGGAGGAATTTAATTCTTTTTCTCCTGTTTGTTGTAGGGCTTTCAGCAGAAGTTCTCCTTCCATAGTAAAGAGATTGTGGCCATCAGTTGTTCCTGGTGCAAGCTGGCGGTAAGTGGACAGTACTCAAGGCAAGTGGTAGCAGCTTCTCTGAATGGCCTCAAAGCAATTAACTCTGTTTGTCCCTGCTTTCAGGGTCTCTTCTCTCAGTGAAACACCCCCAGTTTTGCCATTTCTTTTCCTTTTGCTCAAAACCACCATAATTTTAGCTGATTAACACATGAATCCTTCCAGGAGAAGAGTCTTGCTGCCCAGTGTAGTCACTGGCTACCTACCATCAACACAGCGCTGCTGCCAGCTCAAAGAGTCATTTAGCATTACATTTAGCACTATCAAGATGGTTTATGAGCTTTAATCTTTGTTTATCTATGTAGGAGAGATTTATTTATTTTTTCCCCATTGGTATAAACCATGGCTAAGAAAGGTGATCATAGTTTTATGTTTTTAAAGCTCCTAGGATTTGGGGGTGAACTTGAGGATGACACAACTGGGAGCATTAGTCCAGTTTTCTCAGTGTCATTCTCTTCTTCCTCTCCATGCTTCTCCTTTGTCTTTCGTGACCTCCTTATTGACTGTACTCATTTGCTTCTCTCCAGTTTCATAACAAAGTCACCTGCTTCATGCTACATCACATCGAGGAGCCGTGTTCCCTGGGGGCTCACGCAGCTGTCATTGTGCCTCCCACCTGGATCATTAAGGTGAAGAAACCTCAGGTAACTGCATGCTGATGTCTGTTTCTGAAGCTGTATGGCTGTACAGGGCCAGCCTGGCTTCGGCACTCAGTAGTCCTCCACTAAGGCATGCTTATTCAACCTTGTCTCTCTCCCTGATACCCAGCATACATCCATGGTGACTATGAACCCGTATCCTCCTTCCCTTCCATCTAGCCATCAGTAGGTTTCCCTCTTTGGGTTGATTAGCAGCAAACATTACTTTTGTTCTGAGCAATGCAGCTCAGGTTTGTTCCTCTTAACTGTGACTTCAGCTAGCATACTGCAAGAAATATACTGTGCTGGAGGTCAAGCATGCTCCATTAAATAGAGCTGAGCAAATACAGGGAAAAACTGTTAACAAACATTCACTTGAACTGCAGTAAGAATTCACTGTAACTGATCTGACATGCCTCTGAATTTTTCATCAAAGGACTCTTAAACAATCATGACTTATTCACATCAGCTTACTGCTAGCAGTAAGCCCACATGCTCATTTAGTTGCAGGTAAAAAGGACAAGACTTCAAAGCTTTGCAATGGATGTGATATGTTTTAGAGAGGTTAATTCACTAATCAACACAATAGGGAGAGAAGGTATCCAAAAGAGAACTGGCCAAAAATTAAAAGGGGATTTCTGTCATGGAAGACGTAGGTGGTGGTTGTAGTTGTTTTGATTCCAGGTAGAACTGAAAGAAACAGACAAACACACACTGAACAAAACCGACTTTTATACACTTCTTGGTATAGTGTCTTACAAAAACAGGAAGATTATTGAATTTGTTATATAATTTCTAGCTTACTAACCCTCCCAACCCCCTTTTTTTGTGAGCCAACAGTACACTACTGTTGCCTTTATTTATAAACAAAATCAGGAAAAGGTTATTAAAAAAAACAAATACTAATTTTAATAAAAAGAAAATAAACTAATAAAAACAATATTATCCATATTTGAACTAATTAAGAAGCCTTTCTTTAATCTTTTAAGCTTTTATTTTGGTCTATTTTATTTATTTTGGGGGTTTCTATTAATTTTTGCTTATTTTTTGCATTTTTTATTTTGTATTTGTCTTATTTTTATATTGCAAAAATACACTTGTAGTTTTCTCCTGATTTGATGGTTTCCCAAAGAAGGATAACGTTCTTAGAATATTTTTAGACAGTTTGCTTTCTTGTCCATTATTTTTTCATAAAAGTTCAAAAGTGAATCTTATCTAGTTAATTATAATTCATGGGGAAAAAAGTACTTTAAATGCATGTTTTAAAAGTTAGGCTTAATGAAAATATCTATTAGTTCTGTCTGCCTGAGTCATGAATGGAAAGGAAGTACTTCAGTCCAATTTTCCCTCCCATCATGTGTCAAGTCTTTGAAATTCATGGTCAGTAGCATGCAAAAATCTTACCTTGAATAACTGAGGCCTTAGATAAATTGGAATGATACGTAGCACAGAGAATGGGCAAGTTTCCACAACATTTCTGAACAACAATACCCAGTGCAGTATTAGTTCTGTGGAATGCATCTGTTGCTGTGGAAAATATTAACACATCTTTCAGATGCATCTTTAGATTTTTGGCAGAAATCTTGTTTGCTTTTATTCTTATTTTATTATCATTATTATTTTAGGAAGTTTTCTTTCCTCCTGCTGTTTCTGGCCAGCTCTACTTCTGTGTACTGTGACCCCTTTAACCCTATATGTGTGTTTGGTGAACACTATGGTTGCATTCAATCCACATAATACAAACACAATATTCAAGTTTTTGTAAATTCAGATAGTAAATAAATATGTGTAATGAGCAATCTGTTTTTCACATAATTCCATAATTGGAGTAAATTTGGCTAGAAGCTTTTTGGTTATAAATTATTTTCTCAGCTCTAATTAACTACTCATATTGATCACGGGCAACTCCTGAAGTGAATTCCCTACTCATGAAGCTGATTTTAGTCGTGCCTTCATCCTTTTTATTGTTTTTTAGTTTCAAGCAAATAAGGTGGCTTTTTTTAGCAAATCCTTGTCCTGATTTTTGATTTTTCTTTTTACTGCTACGAAAAATGTTTTCACATGCTTAGCTACAACATGGGTCACCACCTTTCAGATATTGGACTTGAATAAAGAGCATACTCCCCCTCTGATTACCAGCAATATTGTAGTAGTAAAACATTATGTAATTGGTTAAGGATAAATCTTTGCTTATACCCTTTACTTTCTAAGTGGGGAGTTTTTGCTGCTTGCAAGCAATTGATTGCAAGAAGAAGAATATTACAAATGGTTCAAATAGTTCTGGGATAGGTGGTAGCCCTGTCTGTAATGACACATTTTCATAAATGGAAAATTCCCGGTACTGATTTCATTTTATTCAGAATGTGAGCCAATTCTGTAATGCCTTTACTGATTTCCAGTATTTATGTACTGTGTTAGCAGCACTTTGATACCATCTCTGATTTCCTGGGGTTCAAATCGATTCTGTCTTCTAGTCTGTGAAAACTGTCAACCCTATTGACCTGTCACATTTTGTTATAAGTCAGGCTTGGTAGTGCAAGTGGTGTTAGTGCTAGGAATAGACTAGCTGTGCTTATGCTCTGGGAGAAAAGAAGACAATGAGAAGGTGTACATCTGGCTGATAAACTTAATAATTCAATCTCTCTTCTGTTTGGGAAGGCAAAGGCAGTAACTGTAAGATTCCATTTTATTTTATTATTTTATTTTTCCTGTTCAAGGTGAGTAAACTTATTTTCTCCTTCTACTCCTCCTTCAAGGACCTTCAAAAAGTGTTAGTGAATCTTTATACTTCTGGGTTTATTTCTTCCTTTCCTCAATTGCTGGCTACAGCTGTCTTGCCCGACTGCGGTTTGTGAACAACCAGAAAATGGTCAAGATTTACCTTCTCAGAAGCTGTTAATTGTTTACATCATTTGAAGCCCAACATGTCAAAAGCCTTTGAAAGTGAAGACTGAAATGTTGCAAAGGAAAAGGTTGAATGGGTTCATTAAATCTGCTCAAGATAGTCTGTGGCCCTCACACCAACCAATACCATGCAAGGACTCCAATTCTTTTGTTCATTTAGCTAAGCTTGCTTAGAACTATAGTGACCATGCAATAATACCAAAAATCTCTCTTTGAAGATGGCCAAACTGACATCCACAAAGGAGAGGTTTCCTCTCTAGATGCAAGTTAGGATTTACTTATGGTGCACAGTTAAAGGTATGCTTTGCTATCAAGTATTATGCTGAATGACGTTATATGTTTGTAAAAATACTCATCACCTTGTTATGTGGACAAGGTAGTACACATCCATTTCTTCAGTTCCATGTGTGAAGACTGATGATTACTCTTGGCTGTTATTCTGCATGTTTGCAAAGAGAACCTGCATATGTTTAATCAGCTTTTTGCCTTTCGTCTGCTATAGATGTGCAGTTATCATTATTATAATAAAGATTTAGGTTCTCTTAACACTATACACATAAGCATGCTAAAAAAAAAGAAAAGCAAAATAACATAGTTGTGTGGTAACATATGTTATTGCTTTTTGAGTGTAGAAATGAAAAAAATATTATGATGGAGGCTTAGACTAAAACCTTTTCTGTAATACATTTGTATGCCTCTTCCCACCCCAACCATAGGCAAGAAAAGAGTTATGCTATGATGGGATTTAATGACAACTACACTTAAACAGTCTTTAAATTGTTTGTTGAAGTAGGCAATACTTTGTTGAACTATCTTTACTCTTTCCAGAAGAATTTCACTGGCCTTAAGTCCATCTATTGTGGAGGCAGAATAACATGTACAGTCCTTCAAGTGGTACAGTTAAGTACTTTCCTGACATAATACCTGACTTGAGTTACAGGCTATGATTTGCCCGTAGAGTTCACTGCACATTACCAATAAGATAAGTATTTTAAATTTTACACCAGGAGAGACTGGAGCACAAGGAAAAGTCTTGATATGCCCATGACCTTTCAGCAGATAGCTGGGAAGACTGTGGATAGACTAATCTCTGATCTGTCCTATTTTGCCCCACTCCAGGGAGGATCCTTTAACAGAAATCAGCTGAGAAAATAGGCCAAGAACCCTACTGCTTGCAGCTGCCTGTTGGAGCTCTGAGGCCAATGTACTGTACCTTTATATTGATATAAAGACTTTCGTCTACCTTCAGTCTGACTCCTATGTAGGGCAATGAAAGACTATGAGGGTGATACTGTCCATCCACTTCTGTGATCAGTGCAGTCTTCGTGATTTATCATGTTTTCAAGATCACTTGGTATCAGAGTACGGAAGAATAAGAATGCCTTCTTAGATAGTTTCTCAAACTATTACATAAGAGGGCAAATACCAAGAAATTGCTTTGCTGAGCCATATTTTCTTCAGTATTTTCAGTAAGCAATGAGGCACGAATACATCAATGTCCACAAGAAAAGTTGGGAGGTGACAAAAAGTTTGGGACCTTTTGCTCTACAGCAGGCTTCTCTTGGTCTGGTCAAAAAAGAAGATGATAGTGTCTTTAGCAATTTAAATTAACTGTTAATGTTTCCACATTTCAGAGAAGCCAGGAAAATCTAACTTCTGCATCTGATGTGTTCTGGGGTTTTGAAATTCTAGAAGTAGCTGTTAGGTATACCAAGAGAGAATCTAGTACCTTTTCTTATTAACATAATGGCATTACTGGTTAGTGAACAGGATTAAGTAGGGACATATCACTACTTACAGGCTTGGTGATCTCTGATCATTAATTTCTTTTGAATACACTTTCGAATAACATTGGGACAGAAATTAACTTCTGGATGAACTGAGTGATCTTGCTTCCCTCTTGAAGCCAGAAAATATCAATTAACTTTCTTCGAATTTCCTGTGTTACTTTCTTTCCTAGTAATGCATAGACTAAGAGCTGAAATACTTGGGAAATATTTACGTTATTTCGTATAATACAAAATCTCATTCATATGGAAAAGGAAAGGTTTTCCTGCTGATATGATATCAGGTAATACATTTTAAGGAAAAACAATAATTCCTTTTTTGGTATGTTCTTATCAACCAGAAGACCTTTATGGTTCAGTATTATTAAGTAGGCTATTACCAACCTGGATTAGCTGCAGGTTTTTTTAGTTTCTGCAAAAATGCAAGCAATTTTGCATTCCATCCCCTCCCCCTCCCTATGGTTCAGTGATATTATTTAAACCAAGCAAACAAACAAAACCCACAAATCCTTAAATGTTAACAGTTCACACTGTTCCTCACCAGATGATCACACAAGCTTCCTGACAAGCTGGAACTATCTCTGCAGTGCCAGCATCATACACCATAGTGCCTACGTTATGTTGAGTCATAGTGGTTGCCAGAGCTAAAACTTGTTTTCTTTCCTAAAAAAAAAACAAAACAACAACAACAACAACAAAAAAAACCTCAAAAACCAAAACACACACAAAAAACATGAAAAATATCTCATTTATCATGTTTTTTATTACATCTTTATGCAGGTGGTCTCCATACCAGGAGACGAGCCTGATTGGGCAGGAGACTGGAGCCCCGAAGGGGAAATGGGCGTCTCCTACCCCTATTGGGAGGGTTGGCAGGTACAACATGTGGTGTTATGTGAGTCTATGGGAGCATCTGATCTTTTTCCCCCCTCACAGCGTGGGAAAGTTTCCAGTTCCAAAGCACCAGTCTGGTCTCCGTGTGTGGCTTTCTCCATAAACGGTGGTGTGGAAGTGTAAAGCATGCAGCGCATGTGATTTAAATCTTGAGCATGTGCCAAATATTCTTATCATTCTCCAAGTGGACATGCATGGAAGAGCTTCATAAAGGGGCTCTGTCTGTGCCTGTCTTCTCAATTTTGTTTTGCTTTTCATGTGTTTTGTTTTTTTTTCTTTGACATAGAACTCATTAAAGACTTCAACGCGACGAAAGAAGAGAACATCTTTTAAAAGAAAAGCCAGCAAAAGAGGCAATGAAGTAAGTATTTCGGAGATTTGAAAATCAGTCTCCTTTTATTTGAATATATAAATGCAGATTTTAAAGTTTTTTTTTTTTACTGTTTTTTTTTTTTTTTTTTTTTTTTAATATATTAATATATATATTTAAAAAAATATTATTTTTTTACTGCAAAATTCCATATTACTGAATATGTTGTGAGAAAAGACATGTTTTGTCAAAAACTCAAATGAGAAGTCTCTTATTTGCTGAATTAATTTTTTCAAGAAACAACATAGCAGACTCCAGGACTACCAGCAGACTAATGAAACAGTATTCCCTTGGGGTGTAAAAGACTCAGCTCAGACACCTGGTTTCAACTAGGTGGAACAGGATTGTAAAAATGGGGTTGTGAAATCCATGGTGAGTGTATTGACTGCAAGGGTCTCAGTTTGGGGGTGGTTTGCAGGTCCAGTTGGAGAATGTCTCCCTCGGTTGATTTCCAGTTGGAGGTATTCTGCTTGTGTGAAATTTGATATTGGGCCACAGAGAAAAAAATCATACTAATGGTCCTATGGTTAGGTTTACTTATTTTCTTACTAAATTGTCTTAGCTGGATACATTTAGTCTCAGCTGAGCACCATATTATCATGGCTATGCTGCTTCCAACACCCTAAGTAGTTTTGGGTCTTCTGCTTGTGTTATGCCAGGGAAGTTTACCCATTATGTAGCTTTTACTAAAGTTATTTCTTGCTTCTGTTTCTTAGGATAACAAAGGTCGGCCATTTGTGATAAAGCCTATCTCCTCTCCACTCATGAAACCATTGCTGGTTTTTGTCAATCCAAAAAGTGGAGGGAACCAGGTAAGGTTTAGTCTAATAAGTGTTTCTGCAGATAAGAATAGTCCTCAGTCCATTATGGATAAGAACTCTATGCAACTGAATTGCAGTCTCCTAAAAGAAGTTCTTGCTGTTGAATGCCCATTATACCTCCATCTAATTCTATTGAAGTGGAAGGAAAGGATACTTGAACATATGAGCAGTTGTCTCAAGCCGAAAGGAATCTGAAGTATTATTTTGGAAGTTTTCAGAACTCAACTTACCACAGAAATTTTAGATTCCTGGTGAAGGGTCTTAGACTTCTTTTATGCAAAATATGATGTAATTTTATGAGGAAAGCCCAATGCATGTGAAATGCCACATTGTTATGGCATTTAATAAATCACTTCTGTTCCTGTAGTATACCTTAAAGTACCAGGTAATATTTCCGTGAAAGGTTGACCAATCTGCACTAAGTTGAGGGAGCAGTGGTGCAGCTACTGCCCACAGAGTCCTTGGTTCCTGCTTCACAAGATAGTAGAAGCTTACAGTTATAAGTGTTCATGGTGTTGAAGGAGGATGTCGAAGAAGCATAATTGCTTGGGTGCTAGGTAGGACACTGTTCACTGTGGTGACTTTGCCTGCAAGCTTTTTCATTGTTTTGCTGTCATGGATTGCAGGCTGAGGCTGAGTGGGATAACAGAGGTTTATAGTTGCATGTGGTCAGAGGTAGAAGAACAGGTTTCTGTAGGACATGAATCTTTGGTCTGAACCTGAGTTCTTGTTCTTACGAACTGTTAGTGATCTGTGTGGTTAAATTCAATTTATACGTATACATGTGCACCCTGCATGAATTGTTGGGTCTCTATTGGGGGTCATCGGCTACACCACTTTTTATTTTGTATTTTTTTGGTTTATTTTTGCATTATAAAGCACAGAGGAAGGAAAAGCAGTCCAAATATAGTGAATAATGAGCACTATTAATTCTAATAATCATTATACAATTCATAATTTCCCTTCCTTTAATTTTTCTCTTTTCCCAGGGCACCAAGATTCTCCAAACGTTTATGTGGTATTTGAATCCACGCCAAGTCTTTGATCTCTCTCAGGAAGGGCCAAAAGATGCGTAAGTTCTCAAGCACTCACCATGTGAACCATAATTCTTTTTATATCAGGAAAGCAGATGAACATCTAACTCGGATAGATTGGTAGACTAATGATGCTGATATATGTTATCTAGAATCAGAGTTTCAGAGTATAGTTAAGCCCTTAAAATGACTTCAGATCAGGTCCTTAATCATGTGAATGAAAATGACAAGGCTTGGGGGTCTTAACACTTGTTTTAAATACCTATGAGGAAGCTACTGAGAAGACAGAGCCTGACCCTTTACAGCAGCATGGCAGGAGGTGCAAGAAACAGTGGACAAATTGTCAAAAGAGGTGCTTGAAATGAGAGGGGATCCATCTGGATATAATGAAAGACTTTTTCACTGTGAGGACGGTTACCCATTGGAATAGGTTCTCTTCATATGTGGAGATTTTTGAGCCCCAGCTTGATGAAACCCTGAGAAACATGGTCTGATCTGTGTTGACTCTGCTTTGAGCTGGAGCTGAACTAGAAGTTCCTTCAAACTCAAATTATCTATGACAAGTTAGTAGGTTATCTGTTAAATAGGAGGTTACTTCTATTATATTTTTTCTGTTGTGTTTGCAAATTCCATCCTCATGTATAAATATGTATATCTAAATAAATATGTATATACATATGTGGAGACAACCAATTGGAGTTGATGTTCTGGTATTGTGGGTGAAGGAAAATATTCAAGAAAAGGTAGTTCGTATGAAACAAGGTGGGGATGGTATATACACCATTCTAATAGATGTGTGAGAGGTATGGCAGCTTTGTTATTCAGATACGATCTTTTACATTTGTCAAGGAGCACCCTCTATTGGCCAGATTTTGATCGTTGTTCCTTTTGTTAAATGACTTGGGAGTGCCCACAGCAAGTGACAGAAGCAGAGATAAAGGATGCTACATGATCTCCTGTTCATATTGTAAACAGATACATAGATGATGTTTTAAGAATTCTGTCTACAAGAGAAGGACAAACCTGTAGAAGGCTATCCTTTACTACAAAATCATGTATAAGGAAAACATCATTGAATCTTGTTCATAGTTACAGCTTTAAAATGTACATCAGAGCACCAACTAAAGGCAATTACATGGGTGACCAGATTCATATAGTCGAAGTAGGGAGTTCATTCAACAGTACACTATGCCTAAATCTCAGTAGAGTCTATGTGCTGTGGATCCCACAGTGCCTGACCATTGACTAGTGGCTGATCATTATGAAGGGGTGAAGCTGCTTTTATATTCCCATAGATGACAGCTGCATGCAACTATCTTCCCTTGCTGACTATCTGATGCAGCTTACCTGGGCAATGGTTGAAGGGTGAGTGTCCCTCAGGAGGACCTGTCTTTAAAGAGGTGATTCTCACTGCTAAAAGACCACCCTTTGTTATTTGAGATAAGGATTTTTGCTTTACTTAACTATCTGTTCGGTGATATTTTGACAACCTAGGCAGCACAAAAGGACACTGCTAATTTGAAATCATATATTTACCTATATGAATGGACCAAGTGTTTGCTATTCATACTTCTAAAGCACTCATTTTTATTTATTTTTTCCTGCTGAAACACCTGCCTCTGTTCTTACGATGTACAGAAGCTTTAAAGTAGATTTATGGTTTTCAGAGTTGTTTAATGGAGTTAAAGGAGAATTAGATCCTCAGTTCACTATGTCTCTACCTGTGAATGTATCCCCTCCACTGGGAGATGTTTAATTAGGCCTTTCTTTCACACAACTGATAGAACAGGCCTTTTTTGGCTTTCCTTTTGGTATCTTATATCAGATAGCCAGAGAAGGAGCTCTGTTAGGTGATATTGCCTTCCATGGTATTAAAGAAATACCATTATCAGTTGAAGGAGCTGTCATGCTCTAAACATTTCAGAAATAGAGCTCAGCATGCCCTGATGAGAAACACTATGTTTGGTTTAAAAATCCCAATGTTTACATTTGTTGCCTTAGGATAAGAGGACAATGCAAGGTTTTATCATTTCCAGAGGGAGAGGAGCAACTGGCCTTTCAGACTACATGTTCCCATGTTAAACAGATAAAATACTTCTCAGGAGGGGTTGTCTAGCTGCGAAAGAAGGCATCTCATTTTTTTAAATTTTATTTTTCTACCTCCACTCTATGCCACTGATAATATTCTAGAGAGAAATAAGCGGCTGATAAACTGTCACTCAGCAAAATGCATAAAAATTACCTGCATTGTTCTATTGACTTTTTTGTTTTTTCACTTTTTTTTTTTTTTCGTCCCTTGACCAGGCTGGAGCTGTACAGAAAAGTGCCAAACCTGCGGATCTTGGCCTGCGGTGGGGATGGGACGGTAGGTCACCAGTGCCTGGCAGTCCTTTGGTCATTGCCAAGAGATGAAAGGGGTCACAGTCATGGGTTTCCCACCTTGTGGTGCCTGCAGAGCTAGATAACCTGCCTTACATTTATTAAATCTACTCATTGTTTTTGTCTTTTCTGTGTGATCTGGCCTGCTTAGTGATGGGACTATATCATTCTGTCCTAATGTCCTAGGTTCTATCTGCTTTATGCATTAAGATTTGGCAATGCTTACAAAATAAAGACCTTCTTTGTTGGCTTTCTCTTAATATTTGCACAGATCTGAGGATCTAACAGGTTAAATTAGTGTCTGGGGGTCATTAAATCTTAACTTCTGTCATGTTCTGCTGTTGTCTTCATGATGTCTAAGTACTGTCAAATGGGGTCTCTGTGCCTCAAGTTTCCTCACTTTCTTAAAAAATTCACTGTGAGGAAGTGGTCATACTAGTAGCCTGGAATCTGGAAGATTTAGGTTCAGTAGTTTCCTTGCCATTGATCGCTATGTGTTCTTGGATAAGTGAGTAGGATCAGATCTTTAAAGAATTTAGGCACCTTCAGATGAGGACAGGCTCTTGCAGTTTTGGGGCCTGGAGGCCAAGAGTAATAATGAAGTAATTACAACTGTGTTAATCTTGCCAGTACTTAAGAATATTATAAATCTCACTCTGTGCCATTGAGTGTCAAAATACAGTTGAAAAACTGACCTTTAGTCTCTGTGAAGCTCAGTTCCCCAGACATAATATTTGATAATACTCATAACCATATAGATATAACCATAACCATATAGATATAATACTCATAACCACATAGATAGAATATTCATAACCATATAAAATGCATTTCTGGCTGAAAGGTACAATGGTTGGCCAGGATATATATATATATATATATATATATATATATATATATATATATATATATATAAAAGAAGATATTTAGGGCACTTAAACAGATTTTTTTTTTTTTTAATGTATAATATATATATGTAATTTTTTTTTTTTAATTTATTTTTGTTTGTTTTTAATAAGTGAGCCGAACCTGTTCTCAAACACTCTCTGCTTGAATTTCTGGGGAAAGTTTCTGTTCAGCTTCTGTGGGTTCTTTTAAACCCCCAGATGTAAAGGTTATTAACACTAGTGTTTCCCCTGAAAGAATGAAGAAAAAATGTGATTTGAATGCCATCTTTCTGGTACCTGGGACAATAAGATATTACTGTTACTGAACTGGGAACACTCCTTGAAAAACCTGTGAGGTATTACTGCAAAAAAAGAGGTATTAGCTACAAAAAAGAGAGGTTTTCAGTCTGTTTCTGAAAGTGTTTGCAGTTGCTGTCTGAGGAAGCCAGAATTTTAATAGGAGGAAAAGCTTTTTTTCTGAAAAAATTAAAATAGAAATTAATACAACTATATTGAATCTTGGCATCCTGTTTTTTCTTCACTGAGCATTGCAAGCAACAGGGGGCAGCACCTTCTCATTAGTATGAGCAGCACTCGACTATTACCTTTGCTGCTTCTCAGTTTGAAGCAAATTAATATCTAGCTATTCCCAAAGCCATTACATCTAGAAATGAGAAATCTGGCTCAAATGGACTTAGTGAATATTCAATGAGACCAGATGTTATCTTGCATTATTGAGGTGAGTCAGAACTTATTGTAACTTTTCCATCATCGCTACTTGTTGTTCCTTTCTAGGGTGTAAGCTTCCAAAGCAGTCAGGAGCTTTCCTTTTAGTGTGAAGTGATACTCTTTTTCATCATTGACTATAAAACATCCTTGATGTTTTATAAAACAAGGTTTAGAAATGACCTCAAATTAAAGAGCAATGTTGTAAATATAAATTAGTAATTTGAAGTTTCTGTTTATCAGTTACAAGCATTTACAAAAGCGGCTGGTATTTGTAATGTTACCTGTCCCAGTGGGAGATGGAGGTGCAGATGTATGGATTAAGTCAGTGACAATGACAAAGGGCTCTTCAAATAGTTCTAGAATTATATGTCTCTACTCTCTCCCGTTCTCAATACCAGAGGACTTATTTTTTGGAAGGTTACTTACCTCTGACAATCTGGTAAGATTTGAAATCACAGAAATAATAGTTGGAAGAAGAGAAGTCCTGTCTAGGTGAAGTCAGTAGTTTCATGCCTTTTTAAAACCTTACGTTTTCAGTAGTGATGGCATCTTTGAACACTGGCATCAGGAAAAAAAAAAAAAAAAAAATATATATATATATATATAAAATATATAATATATATATATATATATATATTTCCCTTATATTTATCTGCTTTTTTTTTTTTTTAAAAAAAAAAAGAAACCATTATTTAAAATGCATCCCATATTCTTTCAACTTTTTTTTTTTTTTTTTTAAAGTTGAGAATTAATCTAAGTAATGGTGCTATTTTCTTATAGCAAGAATTTCAGTCATAAAAAGCTTGAGAATATTTTCAGCAACACTCCTTTCACTGATGGAAATTACCTTTTAAAGTAAACAAATCATTTATGGTATTTTGTTCCTTTTAGCCAGATTTGTATTGAAAAGTTTTATGTAGTCCTGAATAGGGGAAGAGAGAGAATCAGCTTTCTAAAATTACCAATGGCTTAAGGTGCAAAAGATCCAGACTTATTTTTAGAACCCACAGTGGTCAGTCCTCAGCATTATAGTTTAGCTCATCTTTTATCAAGACAAGTCCTGCATCAATATATATATTTATATTATGTTTTGCTCACAGTGAAATAATTCAGCACTACGGTGTGAATTATCTGGGGAATGGGAGACTTCTGGGTGAATCAGTGCTTGAACTGACTGGGACCTTTTATTCCAGGACATGCTCTGAGATACCATGCTGTTCTAAAGCATCTCTTGAGTCTTCTTTCATGGCAGTTCTCAAAGTTTTAGTTTCCTTTAGCATAAGGGTAATTTAAAATATTTTGCTTGAGCTGTCCATATTATTCCTAACTCATTGATAATCATTTTTCATTAATTTTAACTTACTATATTTTTAAGAAAAATTTTAGGCAGCCTTAAAAATATCTGGCATGATTCTATGTGCTATTATTTCTTAAGAATAGCAACTTCTCTATTGACATTCCTCAGAATCTCTGTGTGCCTTTAACAATAGCCAGTGTTTACATCCTATTGCTTCTGCTTGCACAGGAGCTTCATGAAGACTTCTTTACTAGCTCTCTGAAAGGCAAAACCTTGGATGGGGCAGTTGTACAGTTAAATTTCTGATATCCTAATTTTTCCTTCTCTCTTTTGCTTTATTTGAACTTTCGTGTGGTGGGGATACAACTAAAACGTGCATTTTTTCCTTCATTGCTTCCCTCTTCATCATCATGACTAACAGTTTTTTGCATTTCTGGTTTTATAGGTTGGGTGGATCCTCTCCATCCTAGATGAACTGCAGCTCAACCCCCAGCCTCCCGTGGCTGTCCTTCCACTTGGCACTGGGAATGACCTTGCCCGCACCCTCAACTGGGGTGGGGTAAGCACTGACTGGGGTTACCCTTACATGTGGGTTCTCAACTTGCTGCTCTTATTTATAGTGTAGTAGTGTGGAACTTCCTTTTGGCTAAAATAGCTGGTGGGGCTTTTTGCAAGGTCTGCTTCACTTGCACACAACAGCTCAGTTCAATTTCCAGTTTGGTGGCTTGAATTATTAATGATGTAATGATAAGAGTGGGCATAGACGCATCTGTCTGGTATTTCAGGCCAAATAATGAGAATAATAGGTAGATTTATATTTTAAGCATATATTTAACATATTTTTTTTCTTTCAATATTTATCCTTGACTACACACTGGAGTTATTTCATACAGGGCAAACAAACTCTGGTTCTTCTCATTATGGTCTTACCATGCCTGTCCAAGACTTATGTTCCTAAGCAATAGTTTTTCAAAATGTTTCATATATCAAAATTTAGCAATATTTTGAGGTGTTCTAAAGAACGTTTGTCCACTGTTTTAAATCTGCATGAAAAGAGGGAGGTCTTCCAGGTAATTGGTGAATGACTTGCTTTGCTTTGGCTATCCATGGCTGATATTCTGGTGACACTCATTCCACTGCCAGGGTTACACGGATGAGCCAGTGTCCAAGATCCTGTGCCATGTAGAAGATGGAACCATTGTCCAGCTGGACCGGTGGAATCTCCAGGTTGAGCGCAACCCAGATTTACCGCAGGATGAGCTGGAGGATGGGGCTCGTAAGGTTAGAGCCTTCTTTTTCCCAGGGACACTATAGTATGCTTAAGAGGATTTTTGGGATACATCATAAGATGTATGAGTGGGGAAGTTCCAAAACTTTTTATTTTTCTAGTTGCATCTTCACCTTTTGCTCTTTTCTTGTGTTGGTGCTTCCAGTGACATGTGAACCATAATGCATATCAGCCATCGTATTTGTTGTTATACTCTCAGACTTCAAGAACCAAAGACTTTATCTCAAGAACCAAATTCTGGCAAAACCCCCATGGCATCTTATCTAAAAGGTCACTGTTTTTTCTCTAGTTAACCTGAGGTGGCAGGAGAAGGAATAGTATGACCACCATCCATTAGAGGCACATCTAAAAAATGATGTAGAATTATATTCCTTAGGATTCTGCTGATGGATACCAACTGTTCCCTTTGTTTCAGCAAGGAGTAGTGTATGTTTAGATTTAACATCTTTTTGTGGGGGTCTCCATATGATCTCCATTAGTGTACCTTGAGAGTTGAAGAACAGTAAAATCTTTGTGAGGGGATCACATTTGTAGTGGTACGTCATTTGGACTGGAGATGTTGAAAGTGTCACTATCATCAAAAAATGATTCTGTGCACCATTTTCCTCTTCTCAGTTATAATTTCCAGTTTATCTGTTGGATGTTATTTTTCTATCTCTCCCTGATGGGTCAGTATAATGATGAAGAGGCCAGATGTGTTCTTCCCTGCTTCATGCATCCTCAGTAGAATTAGGCCTTCTTGTCTGGGACTTGCGTTGCTCCTGGTTATATATGAAGCAGGAAGAACACAGCTTGAGTTTCATTCGCAATGCTGAGCTCGAAGTGCCAGCAATTAGGAAAACCTTCGTATTGACATGTTAAGTGGAGCAATGTTCAGGGAAATCTCAATGAGAAAACAAATGAAGAACCTTGTGATGTGTTTACAAAGATACTTATATGATCATAAAACTCTGTAGATGTGTTTGTGTTCTTTAGGCTTTTGTATTTGAATATTTTCCACAAGCTATTACTAGTCTTCAGAACAACTTCTGCATACATTTCCCTGATGTATTCCATTTCCTTAGTGTTTCATGAGGTGCCAGATTTAAAATAGTTAGTGCCTGGTGTGTCACGGAATATTTAATTTGTGTTATTTTTACATGTCTTTCTATTATCAAATTACAGCTTCCACTCAGTGTCTTCAATAATTACTTCAGCCTTGGTTTTGATGCACATGTTACACTGGAGTTCCATGAATCTAGAGGTAAGAGGAGCTTTTTTTTTTTTTTTTTTTTTTTTTTTTTTTTTAACCTTGGACAGTTATTTTATGAATTACAAATGGATTTGAATTTAATGCTTTGTTCTTATAATTCAGAGAGTTCTGGAACATACAAACCCAAGGTACAAACCACAGGTAGCAAGGAAATGATTGTATCATGAGTTTCCAAGGGATTTTGTGATTTAAAAATAAAAAAAGTACAAGAAAAAATGGCATTCACTGGAGTAAAATGGCTAAATGGGGAGATTTCATATTCTTGACCTTTTAAAGGAGTTGCCAAATACAATTATAAAGACAGCTTACACTGACATACAAGTGTCAGAATAAGAGCAGAAAGAAGAACAAATGCAAGCCAGGTGCAAGTTTTTCCTACCGTGTGAAGGGGGAGAAAGGATAAGATCAGTGAGGATGTGAAAGTAGCAGGGTAGCAGGAGGATAGCTGATCTAGAAATGCACAACAGTTACCTATGGATGAGTATAACATAACGTCATTGGACTTGGTACAGACCCAGAAGGTATCTCTGCAAATGAAATGCTTTAACAAAGTCCACAAACTGTCAGCAATTTGAGCTGTTGGAAAATCTTGCTTGTCCCCTTGCTGATGGCAGTTATTACCACATAATCCAAATGTGGCTTAACAGGTAGACCTTGGAGTGATGTGAACTGTTAGATTTGTATGGTTTAGGCAAGCATGCTTGTATAAACAGACCTTGTCTAATTGTCTGTGTTCACTTTTTGATCATTTCAGCTTCATATTCATGTTTTTCTTCTGAACAGCAGCCTCCCTTATCTTCACTTTCATATCAGCAGTGTCATTACAAAACGAAAAGATAGCACCTGAATGCCTTGCTAAATAAAGAGCAGAGTACATGATGGAATAAGCTAATGCATATTTTATAATGTTTAAGACTGCTTCAAGATTTAGGAATAATAATGAGGGGGCATAAAAGGGCACACGAATGAAATGATGACAGCTGTATGCTTTTTTTTTTTTTTTTTTTTTTTGTGTGCATGCATATCAACATGAATTGCTAATGTGAATGTGAATATACTGTATAGATGAAATGCACGGCTACTTTCTCACTTAATGGAGGCATTACTTAATAATGAAGTTATGGAGCCCTATAAAGAATGAATGTTATTCCAGAGATGCCAGTGCTTTAAAAATTTATGTGGGTGAAAAATACTTGGCAGAGCAAGCTGTCTATCTGTGAGTGGGTATGTATGGACAGAAGAGTTTTTCATAGCACTAGTGCCTGCTCTCACAAGTCGTTCTGTTAGCGTTTCCTTACCCTCTTGAATGCTAAAAGATATGAAGTCACTCCTATATGTTGTAGGAGAGAAAAGCTTATAGCTTTGGAGGTGTTGCTGATGTATGGGTTTTATTGTGTTTCAAGTGGAATTAAGCACTACAGAACAGATTTTGATCTCTTTGCACTTGGCCCAATAAGACAAATGGTTGTATGCAATTTCTTATGTGGAACATTTGTAATCACATGTAGTGTTAAAACAAACATACAAAAACTAACCAATCAACCCCTCCGCCCCCCCAACAAACAACAACAAAAACACAGAAAACCTAAATCCAAAATAAATTAAGATTGATTTGAACTCTTAGGCTATCAGGCCATTTTATGCTATGGAGATTGCTCAATTGTTATATTTTAACTAAACAGTGATTGCAGTGTCTCAGAGGAACCTGTATGTGACCGTGGCTATTTCCATGGCAACCTCTACACTTTTCTTGTGACTAATGAGATTGAGCCTTGAGGGTTGGCTCCAAGCTTTGCTTCTACAGGAAGCATTCTGGATAGCAACTCTCCAGAGCCACAGTTTCCCCCTTTGTTATGCTTATGCTCTGGTGGAGCAGGGACTATGCATTTTACTTCATCCCTGTTGACATTGTTAATGTTGAGGGGTGAGGATGGAGCGAGCTTTGGATATGCAGTCATTGATTTGCTTCTACAATCGAAATCACACTCTAGTCAACTTTAGGATCGAAATCACACTCTAGTCAACTTTAGGCTCTATTCAGCTTGGTAGAAAGAGTCTTTCCTCCCTGCCAATACTCATCTGCCATGCCAATGGTAGGAGTAGTTTAGTATGTTGAAAGACTGCTGAGTCCCTGGCCTCAGAAAGTCTCCTTTTCTGTTTAGCTGGCTCCAAACTGGGGCTTTGATTCAGGTCAATATTTGTCACAAGATCTGTGTAAAAGTCAGTACCCTGGTGGCTGATGCCACTGGGGATAACCACATCAGAGAACATGAAGCATGGGCACTTGAGCATTTGGGAGCCACCCACTTCTTAGCATGGGGTTCTGAGAATTTCTGTAGAGCTGTCAGCTCGGTAAGTGAATAAAAGATGAGATTTACTTACGCAATTAAATGAATAATTTTAAGAAGAGGTGACCCTGACTGCACAACAGAACAAATGCATGATACAATAGTAGGGCAGACAATCACACAAGAAATAACGTAACTCTTATGAAATGGAGCATTATATTGTGAGATGTAGTGACTTCAAAGAGAATTAGATGAGTTGTTACAAATAATAATTTGAGATGAAGTAATTTGGAAGTGTTTATACCAGTGTTCTACTTTAGCCAGAAGGTCTAAGGTCATTTCTTGGATGATTTTGCTAGAGAATCACTGAGCAAGAGTAGGTGAATGGTTCTATTGCTGTATACAGTATCAGAAGAACTGCTTCTGAAACCTCTGGATGCTGCAGACTTGGAAAGCAGTCCCCAGGGAGGCATGAAAGTGACCTTTATTCTGAGAAATATGCTGTGTACTGGAAGATCAAAGGAGATCCATTTAGCTTATCGGAGAGAAGGTTAGGAGGAGATTTAATCACCACCCATAAGTATTTACTCGGGGAGAAGATATCTGATAGTTGAGGGCCTTTTAATCTAATAGACAGAGAAATATGATAAGATTTAGCAGTTAGCAGTAGAAGCCAGGAACACTCAAAATAAGAAAAAAAAATCCACAGATTTATTTTAATTGTGAGAATAATTAACCACAGCACTGGTGTTACTAATGGACTACTAAAATTCCCTATCCCTTTGAGTCTAATCCAAATGAACAGCTCTTTAAATAGGTTTTGGAATAACCACATAATTTGCTGCAGGAATACTCGGGTAGAGATGGCAATTCCTGAGTACCTTTCTGGATATCCTCTTTGTAATGCATCAGAATTCATTTTTCATCTCATAATTTACTAACAGTTTGGTCCTGCTTTGGAGCATGGGTTAGTGTTTCATAGGTTTCTAATAACTCTTAAAGAAATCTGTTCTATGTTGGTGAAAACAGAAGTCTCACAGATGGTACGGAGGGGTCTTGAGATGAATAGTCTGAGAGGTGCTAAACAAGCTGGTTTTGTTTTTGTTACCCCTTTGTTCATGTTTCCATCTATTTTCACTGTACAGGAAAGGGGAAAAATTCAATATCAATGTTTGGAATCTGATAGCAGATAATGGCATGGATGCAGGAACCTCACACGAGAAAAATGTATTCATGTTAATACTTTTACTGAGTGATATGTGCTAAAAGCACTATAGTGTTCATAGAAAATCTGAAAGTACAATGGAATCTACTCAATTTATTAAGGTGTTCATATTTTTCCTTTGTATCTTTTCACAGAAGCGAATCCAGAGAAATTCAACAGCCGATTTAGAAATAAAATGTTTTATGCAGGGGTGAGTTGTGATTCATTTTACAGAATAATGTTATTTTATATTCTTGAATGTTTTACTCCCTCCTTTCTCCCTTCCATTCTCACACCAGCAGTTTGTACTGATTCATTTTGCCTGCTGCAATTTAGAAACACACATGTACTCTTTCTGGCAATGACACGTCTGTTGGAGAGTGCTGATTGTATTACAGTATTGGATACAGTACTGATCATATTTTACCCAAGAACATTCTCTTGCTAACCTTTCAAAGGGAGAAGTATTATAAGTTTTATGACTATATATATATGTATGTATATATATATATATACACTTGTGTGTAAATGTATATATATATTTAAAAAATCATATCTCCTGAGATCAGGAAAGAATAGGTTTGACAAAATAATGGCATTTTGTTATAAGCTCTTTGGTGGGATAAGAAATGAGGAAATAGAGGCGAGAAGACCATGATGATTCCTACTCTTATTTCTGTTGCAGGCAGCCTTTTCAGACTTTCTGCAAAGAAGCTCAAAAGATTTATCCAAGCATGTTAAAGTCGTGGTAAGTATAGGAATTTGTGTCATAGTATTGTGGAAAGAGGGGGGAATGGAGAAAGAGTGAGGTGAGAGTTTAATGGCTCTGTTACTTTTCAGTTTTGAGCATGACATTTGCAACACATTCCAAGGAAAGTCTTGGGAAAGCTGTTACAAAGCAGCAACACTTCTCTTGTCTGTGGCTCCATTCAGCAATTTCTCTGTGCTCTGTCACTTTGGCTTTGTAGTGTGATGGTACAGACCTGACTCCAAAGATCCAGGAGCTGAAGTTCCAGTGTATAGTGTTTTTAAATATTCCCAGGTAAGCTCAAGACAGATGCTTGGAGTTATAATAGAAAATAATATTAATAATAAAATCAATATCTGCAAGTTGTCCTCTGTTGGATGGATGTGCAGGAAGCATGTTGCTACTGAGCTTCTTTCCCGAGAGTTAGGTGCTTACAATACTGTTAATTAGCAACATGGAATAGGATGGGAATTCACGGTGCAGCAATATTCTTACAAAAGTTGAATATCCTTTGATAAGGAATTAGTAGAAGGGATTGTTTAACAAACTGGCTTTCAAAAGTTGTGTGCCTAACCTGCAAACCAGATAGCAAACCAGACAAGAATGACTGGTCTTCTGCCTAATTAGAAACAATGTGGGAAATGGAAAAAGAAAATAAATATTTTTCAAGAAACAAACACGAAATTTGTTGAACTAAATGGTTTTTTTTTCTTAATTTAGTAGAAGGTAGCCTAAATAGAAATAAGTCTGTATCTTTAAAAGTTGTCTGTCTCCTGCTCTCTAGACCAGTGGTCTCCAAAATCTTTTGTTTGTGCACCCCTAATGTTAAAAAAATAAAAAATGAGCATGAATATGTATGTTTATTTACAACTTCCATACAAGTGTTAGTATACTAATATGTACATTATAAAACAGACACAAAAAGATAAATTAGAAAAGGAAGTCACAAAGATGAAATAAACACTATTGAAATAATAATTTTATTAACAGTGAGAAAAATATTTTCTTCCTGCGCCTCAAATGGGTTGTCTTGTGCCCCACACTTTGGAGCCTATCTCTTTACTCCATGTGCAAGCCCAAACACCTGGTGGTCCAGTACTGCCCTCTCTGCAAGGAAACACTTGGTGTCTCCTCTACAAAGTTCTCCCCTGTTGCTTTTAGATCACTTTTATATCCATTCTATAATGGTAGGAAAGGTATACATGATGGCTGCATCTGTTCCCGTTTATTTCTCCCTTGCCTCCTCAAGCAATGCATTTTTTTGCAGTCCTTGTGCTGTCAGAGCTTATGAGCCAGCAGAGAGAGAAGCAACAATGCTCTGAGGCTGGGGCTGCTGCTGCACCCCTGTGCCTTCCTAGCAGAGGGGATAAGCAAATTTCCGGCAGGCAAATCACAGGTGCCAGTGAAGCTGAATCTGCATCCTGATCTGCAGAGAGCAGAGCAAATAGGGAGAACAAAATGCTGCTGCTCTGTTGCCTGTTGCTTAGTGTTTCTCCCACTTCCTTGTTGGGGAGGAACCTTCCAAAGACTGTGATGGTTAAATTTGTGGATGCTGTACCAGCTTAGAAATTAGAGACCAAGTTTCTCCTTTTGTCCATTCCGTGTCAACATAACTTTTAATTGTACCTCAACTACATCCTGAAATAGATGTTTCAGTGTTTCTTTTGGAGCAGGCCAGTAATCAAGCTAATAGTCAGGACCCATCAGGGAAAACTGCTTTCTCAAAGCTTGCTTTCCAAACTTTCTGTAGGTATTGTGCTGGCACAATGCCCTGGGGAAACCCTGGAGATCACAGAGACTTCGAGCCTCAGCGGCATGATGATGGCTACATTGAAGTCATTGGGTTCACGATGGCCTCACTGGTGAGTATATGGCAGGTTCTGCCCCTCCTGAAGGTAGGATGAGATTCAGTAAATTCTATGGGCAGCATTACGGAGGAAAAATTGTTCTAAATACTGAAAAAAACACCACAATTCTGTGTTTTCAGCTAAGGCCAAAATATGCTCTGCTGTTAGGTTTTAAATGAGGGAGAAAAAACAGTAATTTATAAATATAATAAGTGCTTTTTAATAATAGCAATATTTTGCAAGCAGAGAATTTTTTAATTTACACATTTAGCAGTGCTTTAAATTGCTCTCAAATTAAACAGCAAGATCATGACAGTGAAACAAACAGCATGTAGGCATGTTTTTACTGTGGGAATATTCTATGGTCAAATAATTACTGCTGTTTCTTTTTAGATTTTGTATAATTTAATCTGTGACATAAAAGTTCCTTTTTTTTTTTTTTCCTAAAACTGGCTTCTGTTCTGGAGACAAATATGACAAATTATATTTAATTATTTTCCTTAGATATTTTTCTCCTAAAAAAAAGTTGTTTTGACACATTAAAATAATGTTTATCTCAAAATACTTTGGAAAATCTTCTGCTTTTGAAGGTTAGGTTACTTAGTGAAAGACTGCATGCTATTCAGATGAGTGTATTCTCAGCTGCTGTGGAGCAAAAGAGATGCAATTTGAAAGATGTGTACTGTCGATGTTGATTGTCAAGTTGTAGAAGTGGAAGTGATCTGCACCCTGCTAGCGTTTTGCAGTATAGGGACTTAGCAGTCTTTGAAGGCAATGTCTACCTTTTGAAACTGAGTATAAGTCTGGGTCATTCTTGACAACTTAACTGATTCTATTTGAATGCCTGTACTACTGTCCTAAAAACATTCTTTTTTCTTTTCACTTGGGGAATAAAAAAAAAAAAAGCGTTAAGAAAATCAGAATTTTCTGAATATTGTTGGCAGTATAAGTTTAGCCAATATAGATATTAAGTTGAAATTGTTGAAATATTGTACAGTATGTCTGTTTTGCCTTGCAGTTTAATAGTTTGTTCTTTGCTCTAAAGGTATACAGGGCTCATAAATCATGCATAAAGCCAATGGGATCAGTATTTTTTGTACTTAATTCGAACAAAACAGACATTAAAAATAGGTTTTTATACTGTATGTCAGTACCTAAGGTGATGCTACTGTATTGTTACAGAAGATGTACACAAACAAGAAAGAGCATCCCTTATCAGTCTTAGTACCAGGTCATCACCTTGTACATTCATAACATAAATGTACAAAATAACAGGACAACATAGGACTGGTATCCAGAAACATCACCATTTCTCACTTCCATGTGACTCTTGTTAATATAATTGTCTAAATCCATTTACTGAAAATAGAATAGTAATAACTTCCGTATGGCCAACCAAAATGTTGTGAAAATTGAGTATTATTTTTCTTTTTGTTCCATTATGGAAAGAAAATTCAACCAACAGTTTTAAATTGGCAGTTAACTTTTTGTCAATGCTATCCTTAAAGTGACCTAAAGCTGAGTTACAAAAGTACTCCAGAGTTCTACTATCAAAGTGGTCAAACACAATGTCAGTCTCTTCAGAGGATGATTATATGCAGTGGTAGATATTGCCATAATTGTGTTAATCTACCAAAGGTACTTAGTGTGGCCAGGTATCCGGGCTTCTTAGCAAATTTGTACAGATCATGCTCAGGCCCCTGCTCTTAATCAGTGAATACCTCTGATAATGTTATTTGTTTCCTCAAAGATATATTTAGACAAATCAGATCTTCAAAGTGAGAAAAAGTAAAAGATCATTTTGATCAGCAATCATTTGTCTGTTTAGATTATGGATTCTTTTATAGCTTCTATTTTTGATCAATCCTAGTGAGCTAGGGAAATAACCTACAGGTAGGAAAAATTCTATTAGCATCATAGATCTTGTGGAATTAACTTTCATCACTTCATTCCTGAATATTTATTATATATTTTTTAAGAAGCATGGACCTTTGACCTGATATTTCTCTCTAAAATAAACTTAGTTCAGAACTGATTATCTACAAATCTGCATTGCTTTTGGTGCTGAGGATGTAACTCCAGAACACACATATAATTCTGGCTGCTTTCTAGGACTCCCAGATGAGCTTGATCATACCCAAGAAGGTCTTTGAGACCGATGAGGAGAACTACTTCATAAGAAATATTATTAATCATATTTTTTTTCCATAATATGATGTGCACAGAACAACACTAAGCTTTTCACTAGTATTTAGGCTACTCTCTTAATAGTGCACTAATACATTTTTTTTTTCTGCACATGGCAGTTGACAGCTAATGGTCATATTCCTCACTAATACAATACATTTCTGCCCAAACATGTCTGCCTAAAACTTGAAGAATCTGCTCATGTCCATGCATTTATTGTCTCATTTCTTTGTAATGAATTCTTGAACACTATATTTAATTGTTTTCAACAAGGTCCTTCTGCTTGCTCTTTTCAGCCTGTCTAGTCTTGATGTTGAGCTGCAGCATAACCTCTCATAATTAAGGATTTTAGATTTATCTAATTCGCATTAAGGATTCTATTCTGTTCAGGAAGGGGAAATCATCCTTCTGTCTCCTAGATTTACAGAATTATGGTGGTTGTTTCAAAGACAAAAAAAAAAAAATAGCATTGCTGTTAGTGTGGAAAACAAAGCAACAAAACTCATATTGAAACCCTTAGGAAGGAACACATATATGCATTTGTGTATATGTATCTTGTAAGTTTGTGTAAACTATCCTTATACAAGGTGATGAGATGTGATATATGGTTAATACCTGTCCTGATGTATCTGATGTTGCCTACTGTTTTTCTTTGTAAAATGTTAATTTTAAATTTTAAAATTTTGAATCAAAGTACATCCGTTGTCCCTCATTAGGATGTCTTACACATATGCTATGTAAGTCATGCTGTCAGCAAAACAGTGCATTCTGGATTTTATTAACTGACTCAAATACCTGTTTTGAGGTGTATTTTTCTCCTTCCTCCCTCCCCTCTTCCAGGCTGCTCTCCAAGTGGGTGGTCATGGAGAGAGGCTGCATCAGTGTCGTGAGGTGACGCTTTTAACATACAAGTCTATCCCCATGCAAGTGGATGGTGAACCTTGTCGTTTGGCTCCCTCACTCATTCGGATCTCATTAAGGAACCAAGCCAACATGGTGCAGAAGAGCAAGAGGAGAACATCCATGCCTCTGCTGAATGAGTGAGTTGGATATGTGCATGTCCTATGCCAGGAAGCCTGTTTGAGGCAGCGTATTCAGTTATAGATTTTGCATGTACTGGACTTGCAGTGTGTTTAAAAAGAAAAAAAAAATCACGTCTCCTGAACTTTTTCTCTGCTGTATTGTAATTAATTTACGGGCTTTCTCCTGTTCTTTTACCTTCCGGGTTCTCCTCTGTCTTGCTTTTAGAAAGGTGTTGTATCTTTCAGTTATATATTTAGAGAAGTCTGTGTAGGCTCAGCGGTATGCCTCTTGGCTTATGGCAGCTCTGCATTATCTATGCTACTTGCCCTTAAAGTTCTTATGGTTTGTTTTCTGAGCTCTATCAGCCTGCTTTTTAAGCTCCATTAGAGACTATAATAAATAGCCACAATCAAGAGCTACTCAGGACATCTTGCAGTCTGTACTGTGAGAGCATGCTGCCTGGGACTGCTAAAGGAGAGAGTCCTGGAGTCCTGAAAAGGGATTTTTGCACTTTTATAGGGAACCTTGCTCCAGTATAGAAACCCAAATGAGAAAATCCAGTGCAACTTAGCTAAAAGTAAGAAATCTTCCTCTAGTCTCCTGTGCTCAATGGCAGTAGACTGTACTATTGAAGATTAGATTGGTGGATTAAGGAACCAGCAACTAGGGGAAAAGTAAGGAAAGATAATCAGAAAATAAGAATATATAGCATGAGACGGAGGTAGCAGAAGTAGTGTAAAGATGAACAGGGAAAAGCAAAAGCAACTAGAAACCAGGAACATGCAAAGAAGAAAATACAAGACTAACTTTCCTTTTCATAATTAAAATTTATTTATAAGTATTACAGGAATATTTTAATAGAAAAAAGATATTTTCATTTTAACCTATGAAAATGTTCACCCAATAAAATAACTCAGGTTATTTTTGTAGACCTAATTATTATACTACTCATATAGGAGGTCTTCATTTGTGCTAAAATGAGGGATAAGTGCCTTTGCAGTTTTTCATCAAGTTTTGAACTGATGCAAAACAGTCTGTCCATTATACATAGAGGTACTGACCTAAAAGTTTTAAGTTATGAAGGATACACAGTTCGTTCATGCATCCATGCACTGAAGCTTTCACTTTTCTGGGGAGCTGGGTGAGAGATTTTGTTGTTGCAGGTGTTATCGTATCAGGGAATAAGTGAGGAAACACTTGTGAAGAGAAGTAATGTCTTTCATTAGACTAATCTAGTTGGAAAAAGCCAACAAGGTCTCAGATACACCTTTTTCTCTTTAGGTATTTTAAGGGTTGTCTGTGTTTTCAGTCTGTGTCATGTAGTGAAAGATACTGTTTCTCTTCCAACTTTGTCTTCAACCCTTCAGAGCTTCTTGTTATTCTGTTTGTCAATCTGTTCATGTAATCAAGGCCTCCTTGGTTACTTTCAACATCTTCCTATTCAGTTTAGCACTTAGTGTTCTCTTACCGAGACTGATGCTTTAAGCTTCAGTAGACCCTTGTATCTGTAATGTGCAATTCGTGTTTGTCAGGAAAATACATAGGGCTTGCTCATCGCTCTTGAAGAGTGAAGAATAGCCTGTGAGCAGTGATGCCTGATTTCATCAAGCCACCACAGCTCAATCATTTGTGAAAGCTGGAATTGGACAGAGAGCAATCCTTAGGCATCTCTTTCTACACCAATGCAAGCTAATGCAAATGAGAAAAGAAAATTCCTGGTATTTTGATCTGATAATTTGATCTGATAATTAGCATGGCTAGGCTTGGATTTTGATGTCTGAATTTGAACTGTCATAGGGAAATGCAACCATAGTGTATGCCAGTTGTAAAGAAGATAATTTTTCTGACTTAGCTTGACTTGGATAACCTATGATGACATGCTTTGTTGCTATCTGAGTCTTTTGATTTGGCTAAGAAGCTTCCCTGTAGATCTGTGTTCTGTAAAAGTACAAATGATCTGTTGAATATTTTAGTTTCAGCCTCATGTATTGAAAATAGTGTGAATATATCTATATATGCATGTTTATGTACTTTGCTCTGAAATGTGGAAGGGGAATGAGAGATAGGAATTGCTTATTCTAGTGTGACAAAAAAAAAATGACATGTTAAAGGTTAAACTCTAGGAGGCATTTAATATTTTAAGAAGTACGTTCATTATGAGGCTGTATTGCAGTATTTCACAAGAGAAAATATTCAATTAAATATGTTTATCTATGCTTAACTTGATAGCTAGAATGTCTCCTCATTCCATTAAAATCTACTAGAAATTCTTATATTTGATTGAACATGATACTTATTTATTTATTTTTTTCATTAAGACTGTCATCTGAATATTATATGTTTGAGATTAGTAGGTGTGTCTGGAGCTACTCACTCAATTGTTAGGCAGCTGTTCATAAGCTCCTTGCAAGGAGAGTGATTATAAAATTATCATGTATCACAGTAACTCAGAGTTGCTATTATTGTTGGCCACAATGTTATTGATAGATAAGGAGAATAAGTAGGAGAGCTCTTTGCAGTTTTATCTAATCCAGTGTCATAAGTGGAAAAAGATTTGATTTTTAAGATGCCTCACACTGTGTTTTTATTTTCTTGTTATATTTTTCTTTGTTCTGTGAGTTTTGAGGAGAGAGTGTTTATAGAGTATAGTGAGTTTGTCATTTGCCTTGTGGATGTACTCTAGTTTCTGGGGAAAAATAGTATTGTAAAATTGAAGAACCCATATTTAGTGTAACTGAGAAGGAACTGAGATTACATCCTTTTCTTGCTTGGGAGCAGGAAGGCTATAGAAACATGGATCTCTTGAGACTGTAACAGTTGCCCGTCTTCCTGATTGCAGCTGCTCTCCTTTAAAATGTGGAGATGCTCCTAGAGAGGATACCTGTATATAGCAGAAAAAGACTGGACCTTGTTTGACATGTTTCTTTCCTCCACTTTCCCACTTTTATGCTTCTAGCACCTTATAATTGCACAGACATTGCCTCATATGGTTCTACACAACCCTTCAGGGTTGAAATTCCTTTATGTTGATTCTGTTTTATCTGTTACTGAATAATTTGACCTTTTCAAGGTGTCAGGGAAATTAAGCAGCACTTTAGAACAGTGTAAAATTTCTTAGTTTGTTAAAAATAATTAATAAAAACAGTGACTATGCAATCAAATTAAGGAAAAAAAAAAAAAAAACTTGTTTTTGTGGGGTTACTTGAACTGAAGGAGCATGCCTTTCCTGTTGATAGCAGCAACAGAGTGAATAGCTTCGTTCAAGCTATTAGGGAACAAGTAAATATGCTGTGCTGAACTTTGTCTGAGCTGAGCAAATTTCTGGTAATTAATATTTTATTTAGTTACTTAATTTTTCTTTCACTGCTGAATTGCCTGCAAACAAATAATGACTTTCTTGGTATATTAAATATTTCAAATTAACTATGTGCTACTTGCTGCAAATAGTGAATTCTTCTTATTGTTCATCAAGCATTCATTTCTCAATATTTCCTTTTGGAAGGTAAAGGATTTTTGATATAACAAACAGATTATAAGCATACTCTTGAGCAAGAGAAGATGGTTTATTTTCAGTTTGTACTCTTGTGATGATTTTAAATTTTTGAGTTGCAGCACAGTGGAGGACAGTCATTGCTTGGTGGACACAGTTACAATACTTGTTCTAATTTGTTTCTAATGGAGGCTGTTCAAACATAAAAGGCAGACATGATCTCATTGTTATCCTACAATGCATTAAAAATAGAGATAAGTAACAAACCAGTAAAGTGTTTCAACCCAGAAACAACTTTTTAGGTGCAAGGAATGTAGGTGCAAGAATGAGGTGATGCAGTTGACACTTGATTATGGACAGAAACAGGCAGATAGTGAGGTTGTGGCAAAAAAGGCAGGTTTATTTTCTTCTCATATGTCTCTTCTGTTGGTTTTCTCCATTGTGTTTGCTAAATGCACCAGCAAAAGCAAGTTTTTGCTACCGTCAGATCAGCAGACTTTTTTTTTTTTTTTTAAATTATAATAATAATAATATTATAACTCTCCTTCTCTAAAAAGACTTATCATCTAATTTCTGATTCCTGAATCTCCATTATCGAAGGTAGTTTGTGAAAAAGACAACATGAGAGCTTGGTTTTCTACGATCAAGCAAGGAACGTGGTCTTGTGAATTAAAAGTAAAATGTGTGTGGAATAACAAGAGAAGCCATGGCTCAATTTTACAGGAATCATTTTCTAGTTGGAAACTACAGTTTAGTATGCTGCTCAGTAAGTTTCAGTTAGTGATCATTGTGTGAACCCCAAAAGATTTTAGTTCAGGTTGAGGAAGAATGGTCTGCATGGTAGAAGAGATAGAAGAAGGAACAGCTTACAGGTAAAATGATGTTCCATATGCTTGAAGAAAACAAAGGGACCATTTGAATATAAACACTAAGAGTCAGTCTTGGGAGTCACTTTATATAAAATGCATGTTTCCCTAAGGTACATGAAAGAAGAATGGAGACTGCAATTTTTCATTGTGGATACAAAATCTCTAGTAAGGGTATTTTTCTTTCTTAAAAGTTAACTAAAGTTAACCAGTCTTTGTAGACAATTCCATCCATTTGGATCTTGGCTTTGATGTTTGTTTGCATTTCTGGACTTGCTTCCAAAGTCTGCTGCCTTGAAATATTTCAGTGCCTGTGGAACACATATCCTGGGGCTCCTAGTCTTCTTTGTATAGCTGTGTACCTAGCTTGTCATTGGTCCTCCTTGCTCATGTCTTTAGAAAGCTCCTAAGTGCTGTGTAGAAGTGTTTTTCTCCATTTGCATGTCTTCTGTTGCTCTTGGCTTCTTAGCGTGACCTTGGAGCTCTGCATGTCTCTCATTCAACTTTTATGTGACACATTCTTTTTGTTTCTGTTTAAATGTTGTATGTCTTTCTCTTTCTTTCTTCTCTTCTGCTCTTTCTTTCCAATCTCTCTCTCTTCCTTTTTCCTTGTCTGTCCACACTTGTGCTGCCTTTCACCTGGCCACTCATTTCCTGCTGCCTATAGTATCCATAAAGTGCAGTCTGCTGACCTGAGGAGAGTCTCAGCTCCCCCTGATTCCTTCACTGTGTGAGTATCTGGCTTTTTTCTATCTTTGAAGTTCCATAATTTGTTGCTGTTACATTGTGCATTGTTCAACCAGGAGACATGCCAGTAAAATCCAATAACAAAGGGGAAATGGGAACCCAGGACACAGCATGGCAGGCGTGGAGCAATGGTCTAGCCAGTTAAGATGCAGTCGCACAGTACCTAAGGAAAGGGGGCAGGGCAGGTCTGGTAATTATGACTATATTCAGCCCGGAGTACAGATTGCCAGACAAATCCATAGTGACAGGCATGTCTGAGAAGTGCCAGGTACCACCCACAAGACAAGTTTAGATGACAGGCTTTTGTCCTTTGGTTTAAATAGAAAACATGGTATGAACACAGCCATAAAACATTTATAGATAAGAATTGAACAAAATAGAAAACTGGTCTACCAAAGAAGTAGAACGATAAGTGTCATGATATTGACTGCAGCTGCATTGAAGATGGAGACCTCTCCCCCCCACTTCAATAATATTTTGATTTCTAGCAAGTCCCATGTAGTAACTTGCTAGATTGCAGCTACAATATTGAAAATACTAATATTTTTAAATATGTTGAATTGGCACTTTTACCATTATATGTGGGTATTTTCTAATTCATCCCCTTTATGGAAACATGCTGTATTATGAAAAGGTCTGTGTGTGCACAATTAAAAAATAATAATAATAAAAAAAATCCCAACTTAATATATCAGCTCAGGCAATATAGTTTGTCTTCAGAAATACTTCCCGATTATTCAGTCAAAAAAAAAACAAAAAAAAACAACCACAAAACACACACACACACAAATTGTCTTTTTATCGACATCCCTTTTGTCTTCTTGATTTGCCAGTCTTATGCTGGATATCTTTTCAAGTGGGACTACCAAATAGATAAATTGGAGACGCATGATGGAAAATAGTAAAGTGCTGAGATATAAATCCAAATATTCACAGCAGAAACTTGATTCCAGGCATAATTCTTATTTCATCATAGAAGAAAAGCAATGGATTATGTAAACCAAACCAAACCAAACAAAAAAAAAACAACCATGAAACCAAACAACAAAAACAACAACAAAAAACATTTCTCTGTCCTAAAAAATGGGTATGTGCAATAGACAACATAAATTTTCAGCCAATCAGGGATTACTTGGAAAATTGATTGAGTATATATATACATATATATATTCTAAAGCAAATAACAGATTTGCAGAAAAGGACCTGAAGGTCCTCCACCATGAATCAGTAACATGCTTTTGTGGCAAAGAAGTCCTAATGGTGTCATGAGCTGTGTTAGGAAGAATGCGGCCAGCAGGTGAAAGGTGGTTATCCTTACCTTCTACTCAGCACTGGTGATACCACACCTGGAGTGCTGGGTCCAGTTCTGGGCTCCTCAGTACAAGAGACATGGACATACTGGAGGAAACCCAACAAAGGGTGACAAAGATGTTTAAGGGACTGGCACCTCTCTCCTTTGAAGAAAGGCTGAGAGGGTTGTGACTCTTCAGTCTGGAGAAGAGAAGGCCTGGTGTGGGTATTCATCAGTATCTTTAAGTATCTAAAGGAAGGATGTAAAGAACATGAAACCAGGCTCTTTTCAGTGGTTTCCAGCAACAGGACAAGAGGCAATGGGTTCAAACTAAGACACAGAAGGTCCCATCTGAAGATAAGGAAAAGTGTTTTTATTGTGAGGTTGATCAAACCCTGGCACAGGCTGTCCAGAGAGGTCATGTAGTCTGGCTTATTGGAGATACTCAAAAGCTGTCTGGGCATGCTCCTGGGCTACTGGCTCTGGGTGTCCCTGCTTGAGCAGGGTGGTTGAACAAGATGACCTCCAGATGTCCTGTCCAACCTCAATGATTCAGTCACATTTCAGAAAGCTGCAAGTTCCTCCTTTGTTATTTTGCAAATAAGGAATGATTTCCAATTCAGTGTGCCATTGTGTCATATTGGCTGTACTCAGCTGAGGAAAAAATAATACAAATAACTTCTCTATCATTGATTTAGTATCCTAAGTAAGCCTTTAAAAGTACTTGAGATATGCCTTATTGCTTACACAGAACATTAAACAAGCTGTAAGTCTGGGAGAAGGAGGATTGTTGCCAAGTTGAGGGATATCCCTTGGAGAATGACATCCAAGTTTTGATACAGTTCATTTAAATGTCTCAGTTGATATCAGTTCTCAGGATAAGGAAGAGAGAACAGAGAGACTCATAAGTCACAAACTAATTTGAAAGTCAAAGATATTCTCTATCCTAAAATCTGTAAAAGACAAACAAACAAACAAAAATAGATTAAACATGCTTCTGTGCTGTGGCTGCCAATTAATGTGTCTGACAAATTAAAATAAGAACCCATGAGGTATCAAGGAAATTTGATTTGGGTTGTGATGGCTTTGAGATTCAAATGTGTTTTTTGTTTGTTTGTTTGTTTGTTGAACAATATGTAAAGAGCCTGAATTATAGTTAGTACTGAACAGCATGATGGATTCTTCAGAGTCATGGTGATAGATACAGCTTGTATTAGATAAATTCCAAGTTTTTTTTGCAGCAGTGTATGCATGGGAGCTTGAGGCAGCCAAAATTATTAGGCACATATGGTCTTTGTTGTAGAGACAGTAGAACTCTAGTGTGATCTGTTTCAAATGTTTGTACAGGGTGCATGAGTAAATACAAGTGCTGAAATTTTAACTGGGACTGTTTTAAAAGGAAGGTAAAGTCTTGCAGGAGGATATACATATGATAGTACATCTGCATTATGTGGTTAATTAAAAGAAGTTCTGAAAAAAAAATCCCATTTAAAAATTGATTCACATAGGTTGTACAGTTCTTTTTACAATCAAAACAAACACTGTGGATATACTCTGATTTTTTTATTTTTATTTTTTAAATATAACCTCTGTGCAAATGAAAATGTGAACACTGCCTTATTGGTAAAGAGATTTTATTAATAGAGTTGATCGCAATAGGGTGTGCCTAGAAAGTTTGTATGCATGGCATGCAGGCTATGTGAATAGCAAAGGGGTAAAAGGAATAATTTTTGTGTATAGAGATCAGCTTTGTGGGTTGGGTTGAATATGGGTATTGTGTATAGGAGGAGAATCTAATGATGATCGGGGAGAAATGAGGCAAAAGGAAGAAAGTGTTACAAAGTGAGCTATTCTCCAAAAGCATAATTAAAGATGAAAGTGCTTGTATACATCTTCCTTTTCTTTGCTAAATGGATGATCAGAAATTGAGTCTCATTTTTATTTTGACAGATTTTCCTGTTTAGCAAGTGGGCACCTGTTTAGTGGGATCGTTACTATTGGAGAATCCACAGTGCTTGTGGAGGGAAGCATGGGAGGACCACAGCTAGCCTGGTGAAATTAAGGAAAACAAAGACAGGGATTCTATGTGGCACCTGGGCAAGTGTTTTAAGTGTATGGGTGGGTCTAGCTTTTACACAGAAAAATTTTTGAACTCTTGCTGAAGCAAGTGTGAGGTAAAAAAGGGCAAAAAGGTTTAGTAGAACTGGGTTAACCTGGCTTATCTGGGATAAAACTCATCAAACAGAAGGGAAAAAAAAAGTTTTTCCCTGGTGGAATGGTGGAACTTATATATATATATATATATATATATGTTTTAGGTGAAAAGCTCAGAAAGAGCTTTGCCTTAAAATAGTAGTGGGTGGCTATTTTAATAGCAAATACTGCTAAGTATTGAAAGAAGAAGCTAGATTATTCTGGTTTGTTGTGCCAGTACTTATGTATTAAGCAGAGAATAGCTGTCAAAAACACATTTTTAATATATCGTTTGCAAGCTCTGTGAATGAGATCTCAAAAGTAAGGTTAAATTATTTTTCTCCTCTGGTTGCTATTTTCCTTTTTACAATTGTTCTAAACGCTGGAACACTTAATCAGTTTTGCATGTTTATTTCTTCTCTAGGAGATAGGCAATTCATTAATCTGTCACTGCAAACGTGCCCCAGAGGAATGTGGTGATTTCTAAAGTTTAATTTTTGCAAGGGAGGGGCAGGAGAAGATTTTATTTTCCTTTACTGTTTGCCTAATCAAATTAAAATCTGTATGTGGGTAGTTTGATGTGGCTTGTATTCTGGAAGGCCTATCAGAAATTTGTCACTGGATATTGTAGATTTGTTGGACCGTTTTTATCATCATCATTACTTCCTTTATGCAGACACAAAGAATACGAAATGGTTCACAGGGTTTATTAATAATTAATGTGTGGATTGGGACATACATAATTTAAAAGTTTCTCTTCCCATTTGTATCAGGCTGGTGACATAGTAGCAGTGTTATCCAGCTGCTGTGCAGGAGCACCTAGGACAGGACCTAATCTTGCTCTGCCTGTATTCTCTTTCCTGGGTGACTGGATGCAGGAGCACATTTCTTAGGAGAAACAGCTGTGCTCCAAGTGAGTTGGCTGGTATCCTCTTTCCAGTTGCTGAATGATTAATAGGGGTGAGAGGAGGAAGTTACAGCTTTAGGCAAAGCTGAGTGGGTTTTATTGGTGAGTGGAATAGATCAGGTCACAGTCTCAGAATAGGTACATGTGACTGTGTCTGGGGGTTTGAACCACAAGCAATGGAATTGGGGAAAAAAATAAGCTCTTCTCATTTTTGTAAGGTGTTTGCTGTTTTTTTTTTTTTTATTATTATTATTTTTATTTTTTTTTATTCCCTCCTTCCTCCCCCCCAACCTTTCTAGAATTGCAGAAATGCTATGGCTCAGGTGTAGGAGGGAAACAAACATACCTCTACAGTAAGCAATTTGCAGCAGGTATGGGGGTTTGTGTTAAAAATGAGTCCACCTTATAAACGGTTTATTCAGCATGACATTGACTTTCTAAGAGCTACCTCTGTAGAGTGGTTTCAATTCCAGTGTGCACCCTGGTGTGCCATTTGATGAATATCTACTTAGAGAGGAGTAGGCTTTAAAGAAAACAATTTTTATGCTATTTTTTATATTTACGCTACTTATTTTTTATATATTTTTTGCCG